GTACTTATCTATCTATGTGTGTCTGACGCAAAATTGATACGATAACAAAATGTCTTTCAGCCCTGCTTTTCTTAACCTTTGAACAAAAATACCTGCTCAATGCTGCCACATTGTTTGCCTATCACTGAAAGATCACACAGGAATGGTCTCAGTGTGGTGGTCGGAGCAGCCATGGACCAATGTCTGGCTGTTTCGTTATTTACTCAAACATGCATACATCGCTCTATAATCAACTTTGAGTGTGTGAATGACCAGGGAAAACCACTATTACATTGTTAAAAGCAATTGTGAAAAGTCGATTTTGAATGACACGGCCCTTTAACATTCGGCATGATTCGGCATCGCAAAGGCATTTTACCACAAATGTAAACATAGAAGACACATGCACAATATGTCTCCTTCATTCAGTGTCCTTAAAATCACTTATAACTCATAACATTTCAATTGCAACTTTAAGAAAACTTTGACAACAAATGATTGGGTTGATTAGGAAGGACCTTAGACTGTATATAGATGGACAAAGCTAACCCGCTAGCTCATTGAAGCCCAATAGGGAAGTGCTCATGGACAGAGTTTAGCTCCAAGAGTTTAGCTTGACTTTCATTAGAAATAACCATTTGTGTCAGACTCTCAATTTTGGCTCTAAAAGTCCATGCTTTTTAGCTCTATCATCATATTGTGAGATTGTAAATACAGATATGAGCCCTAATAACTGACCAATCAGGAGCCTTTTGTCGCCGATTTCTAGCTAGTAGCGAGAGTGGGTACAGACTGTCGCCACTCCTTGCTAGCTTGGCAGTTGCTTCTACCAAAATTTGCATACATTCAGCTCCACATTCGTGCTCAAATAGCCTTTTTCGAGCTAGCTCTACGGCTAACACTAAGTCACTCCACTCCTAATATACAGTCTATGGGATGATACAATATGTAAGTGTATATATGCATTTTGATTATGAACAGGGGATATTTCACACAATTCAGTGGTGAATGTTGCATTGTTTTGTGTCCATACAAAAGTAAAATACATTCACTTCGTTGGATCACGATCTAGACAGCAGTGACTTTCTGTTTTCAGTTGCGAAAAAGTCCCAACAAAATCCATCACGAAGAAGATGGACCCCTGAACGATAAAGTGGACGCATGGATCGACCTGATGTCCTTTGTCATAATAGTGGAAAAAACAACAACACAGTACAAGTTTGCCTGCCTTTGTGACAAAAAATAAAATCTCAATAAATACAGTTTTCAATCACAATCATGAAATAAATAGCGTCAATATCATGTGTCTAATAAATAGTCTCTGTATGATATGACCTGGAGTTTGTGTCAGGCCGGATTATGGCTCTTTGGTCCAATGAGAATCATCCATGCCTCGACTTTCTCACTGCAAACACACACCGTTTATACAACCTTACTTATTGGCTTTCACAAACACATGCACAAAAGAACTAATGTTTATTGATTAGGCTATTAAAGATCGGCGAGAAAAGGCTGCGCATCTACCTACCTACGCCAACTAAGGTATTTACAGGACGCATGCGAAACCATCTCTCACACTAACACACACACGGACACACACACAGACACACACACGCTGACGGAATAACCTGAAGGGAACCTGCTTTTTGTCTGGGGATGTAACAGCCACTGCAAAAAATATATTGTCAAAAAAAGTCTTGCTGTGAAATTGTGGGTTGTCATAATATGTCGATTTACAATTGCTTCAACTGCATTCTTCCGTTGGCTGTTTGGTGGAAATGTTTAGATGTTTTTGACTTCCATCTCAAAGTCGTATGAGTTGTGTTGAAATGGATTTTGGAATGTACGCTCTCTGACCCGAAAGGAGGAGCCGAACCTGAAGTCTGGCAGGATCTTTGGAAATAATTTTACTTAACTGTCTAATGTTTGCTCACTCTCAGCTCGGGCCATTTACAGTTTTTAAAGGCGACTTCACAGAGGAGATGTGTTTGATTCTCTGGTCAAATCGACAGTTTTGGAAAGTCTTTTGCGACGACTCTGTTGTGACTTTGTGCTATGTAAAATGTGAGGACTCGAGTGAGGATTCCAATGCAAACCACCAAACTATCGTTGATTTGTACTGTTTAAACTGCATTTATAATCACAGGTTCCATATCACTCCGCCTGAGATGTTACCATAGCAACACAGCATTGAGCCCAAACAATTAATTTACAGTTTGCATTATAAAGTTAATTTTTAAGGTCTCATATACAGTAGGATGTTGATTTGACATGCTAAATATTATAAATGAACTAGTTAAAACTCAACAAATTTTGCTTTTTATCCTCTGTGTGTGTGTCACAATTGTGGTCATGCCAACGGTTGCTAAGGAGCTTTTGCTGGCTCTTGCTTCATGTTCTTCCAAAATGTTTTTGAGACAATATATATATATTTGCTAACATGTTATTAATGTGTGATTGTTTGGATCATCATTTTTTTTTTCTGGTATTTTTTTCTTCTATTGAATCTATAGAAACAAAGAGCTGAGTTTTTCCTCTGAGTCAAATTAATAGCACAGCGCTGCCTAATCGTCTGCATATCACATAATCAGTAACAAAAATCAGCAATAAAAGTAAGAAAACACAGTGTACAGTTGAAGGCTAACTTAGTCAACACATTTTTCAACAATAGATTGCGATTGATCAATTCACTCTCTTCACAGCCCACAAAGCCAAACTACTGTAACACGGCTAAAAGCTGTGAAAAGTCGATCTTGCATGTTATGTCCCCCATGTATTAGGCAGTATTGGACTGGCTTGGATTCCTCTAAAGCCTGTGGTAGACACGTGGGAGGTAGTATCTCAGTCCATTTCTGTCTAAAGACGGGTTTTTCTACAATGGAAGCCTTTTGGGCAAGTGAGAGATTACATCAACCTGCCCTTTGCTCTATTTCAATGCAGAAATATGATCTTTTTACAGACTTGCTATTAATGACTTTGCTAAAAAAAACAGTAATCATTCCTAAATACAAGATTTTAGAAGGGAACCTGTGTACAAAAGGTGCATATTAAAAGGATGTCAGTAAATTAAAATCAAATCTTTTTTTTTTTATAAGAATTTCTACTTCTGACCACCTGGCCCTGAATATGATATGACACAAGTATTTTAAAATAAAGGGTATTTAGAATATCCCCTCCCATTGACAGAATTTCCACCAGTACGATTTTCTAGAGGGGAATAGTTAAACCAATGGTGTGAAGAATGTAAAGGCATCTCGTCCAATCAGAAAGCTAGGTTCTCGAGCATGGGCGGGTCTAACCAGTTCTAGCGCTTTATAATTCCCTCTCTCTCTCCCCACAATTTGAAAAGTACTTGACATTCACTTTAAACAATCCGTTCAATATTGTGATAAATAGGGATGCACTGATACTGGGATTGAAGACTGATGAAAGGTCGCGGAAAATGGGATAAATTTGTTCTACGACATTGATGAAGTTGATATCCTGATTTGGCCTTTTCATTGATGTCATATGACTATTTACTGAATGATATTAGCATTTCCCACAAACGTTATCTTTTTTTGATCTCTGTTGCTGATTATAGTAGTCTACAATCTCATATAAAGCTCCAGTTTAAGTCTATTTCACATTATATTTCTGAATACACTTCACCTCAAAATGCCACTGGATTATAGATTTTACTCTTCCAAAGTTGGTCTGTTTCTTACATTATAGTTTAGAAATAGAAAAGATGTCTGAAGTTGCAGTGATTTAAGGTGGAAAATTTTGTTTTTTTGTCTTCTCTTGGTGAAAATATTGTACTGAAAAGATATGGTTGTTGTGAAATCCCATAACTAAGACAGGTCCCCAGAGGTTCACACCGTGTGCAAACATCAGTCCACACGGAGTGATAAATACCAACTCTTACACACACGCACACGCGCACACACACGCACACACACACATACACGCACACATTCACACAGGTCAGCAGAATTAGTCAAATTGAAGTGTTGCTGCTGACAGCCCTTGCCCCAAGTCAATATATATATATATATATAACTGTGTTTCGTTCACAGTTCAATACACACTTTTCTGTCAATGAAAAATGTTGCTATTCACGTGACGGTTGCCAAGTTATTTATGCTCTAAAAATAGGCAACATCCATTCATAAAGTTAAAGCAGAGGTGGTACTTTTATAGTATTTCTGGCATGGCAAAATATACTGAGATAAGCACGTTTGAATCATCAAAGTTTTCGAAATAATTCATGCAGATCTGAGTCCCCGACCTCAGGCAAGATACAGTTGCAAAAACATTTCACACAAGGCCAATGTACATGTACACCCTACTACTCTCTCTTCGTTCTACTGTAGGGGTATTTTTTTAAATACTTTTTGCCATGTAGTTTTGTGAGTTTAAGTTTCAAAGGCCTGGTTTGCGAACTCCCAACGAAAAGATGTCATAAGCGAGTCTATTGAATGTACTGTGAAGGATTGGTCATTTTCTAACAGCTTTTACTTGTTGCACAGTCAGATAAAAACCAAGAAGCACATGTTTGCCCTGTGGTGGTGCAAATTAAGACTATCGACGTAAGAACTCATCACTAACCTTGTGCGCCTCTTGTGCTTTGTACTGATAACTAAAGGGCCCAAGGCTGATAAGACGCTCAGGTCATTTCTGAAACCATCTTCAAACTCCAACAACCACAAACAATTTCTCAGGGTTCCCAAATGTCGACATGCTAATCAAACCCGGTGATTGTTTCATACTTATATAAACAATTGAAACAGCTCTTTTTAAATCTATGTCCATCGCCAGAACAGTGCGCCTCTGTTCTCTGTCCTGTTTGTCACTGCACACCTCACAAAGATGGATGTGTTGTGTGGAATTTCCCAGTCCAAGAAAACAGTAGGAACAACACCCGGCTGAAATCCAGCTCTGAAATGTGGGAATTCAGAGTCCTTTAGTCTGACACTTGTTTTTTCCTCATTAAAATGAAAACAAAAGACAAATGAGTAAAGAGTTGTTTAGCTGGTGTGTTAAAAGAAAGTCCCCTTGGTGTTTCTGCACACAATCTTTTTGAAAGCTTTCCGAAAGTCTTTGTTGAAGATGGTGTAGATGACAGGGTTGAGGCAGGAATTACAATAACCAATCCAGAAGAAAAAGGTGAAGAGGGGTTGGGGGATGGCACAGGTCTCTGGGCACACAGCCTGGAGCGAGTAAGAGAAGAAGAATGGGAACCAGCAGACTACAAACACACCGATGACGACGGCCAGGACAAAGGTGAAGCGCTTCTCTCTGTTGACCATGGCCTTCCGCCTGGCTGCCCCGGGGTTATTATCAGACTTGGACTTTCTCCCTGGCATAAGACGTGCCCCTTTTGAAGTGGCGATCATATCTTTGTACCTTTTGACAGATCCGGGAGAGTGGACCCCCCCTCCGGGGGAGCCGGGCATGCTGGCACTGCCTCTGCCTCCATGACTGTGTTCTGCATCACTGTCAGTACTCGAACTGTCACCGTTATTGTTGTCTGTTTTCTTGGCCTTCTGCTTGTTTTTCTTCTCGTTGACTTTGGGCTTTGGGGCCTCTGAGGACGGAGAGGAGGGTCTGTTAGCGCTGTCTGGGGTCAGGGCTCTGGGTGGGGGCTGCAGAAGGTTGTTGGAGGTTGGGTTCTGGGTGGGCTCAGACTCAGGGGATGGGGAGGGGGTGATGGCCAGAGTGGGGGGCCGCGTCTTAGGGCTCTTGTTGGTGGATGGAGGAGTGCTCTCTTCCTCGTCCTTGCCGTTGGCGTGCACCTGTCGAGGGGTCTGACTGGGGGTGGCATTGCCCCCATCCTTCCTGGGCTCCCCAGGGGGGCGGCGTGTCCTCTGTTTAGCGATCTGGTAGATTCTGACGTACACCAGGATCATGATGAGACACGGGGCAAAGAAGGAGCCGATGGTGGAGTAGAGGATGTACCAGCGCTCTTCATTGAGTTTGCACTGAGGACCTCGGTCCACACCCTCATCCTGTTTGTCACTTTTGTTCAGAGAGAGCAGAGGGGGGAAGGAGATGACGGCTGAAATCAGCCACACCACCACAATCGCAGCTTTGATGCGCTTCGGAGTCCTCTGTCGGCCGTACGTCACCCTGGATATGGACAGGTAGCGGTCCAGAGAAATTGCACACAGGTGGACGATAGAGGAAGTGCAGAACAGCACGTCTAAGGCCAGGTAGATCTCACACCACAGAGACTTGAAGTACCAGTATCCCAGCAGCTCGTTGGCCAGTGAGAAGGGGATGATGAGCGTGGCCACTAGAATGTCTGCAGCTGCAAGGGACACGAGGAACAGGTTTTGAGGCCCCCGCAAAGAGCGGCTGGTCAGCACAGCGATGATAACCATCACGTTTCCCACTATAGTGAAGACCACCATGAGGGTGATGGCAGTGGCAAAGGCAGCTGTGGCCTCAGGGGAGTATGGAGCCGTGTTTAGCATGCTCTGGTTACAGGGGGCTGATGGGATCCCACTGATGGTGCTGCTGTTCCAGCCTGTGAGCTCCACAGAGCATGGGGTGTCCATGTCTGAGCTGAGAAAGCAGAAAGGAGCATTCGATTACTAATAGTTCTTTAAGTACAACATCCACGATCATCTACTGTACAACAAAGGAAATTGTAACACCAATAATGGTGAAGCACTTAAAAAATGTTTTCAAAAAAGTTTCCAAAAAATTGAAATAATTGTTTACTTTACAGGTCTGTGTGACAGTTATGACGCAAAACATGCCCTCTTTTATCTTTACCTTGTGTGTTGTGGTTTGGTGTGTCTTTTTGTCAATATTAGCTTCCGTGCATCCTCCAAGGCTGCTCCCACAAGTCCATCGTCAGCGCACAGCAGTCCAGTCCAGGCGGCGCGTCCAGACCCTGGGCTGCTCAATGTGACCCGGGGCTCAGAATCTTGTCCACAAATCTGAGATCTCTCTGTGACAAACGCACGACAATCCTTTGTGGACAGACGATGAAATGACCCAAATGATGAAATGAAAAGTTCTGGACCTGCTTTAGGAGCCGCTTTAACCAAACGCTCCGATACAGCAGAACAAAGTAAAAATAAATACAAATAATAATAACCAAATAATTCAATATCTTTTCCTTGGCGAGGTGACGAACGGACACAGCCAAGGGTCGTCGGGAGCCAAGGTGCTGCGTAAAACCAAACCCCCACACCCGGCTTCAGAGCGCGCGTCTGGCACCCTGGCTCCTCTTGCCGCTCTCAACTTGAAATGAAGCCATATGAAAGCGTGTGTGGATTTAGCTCCTGATGAGACCGGACCACGGAATCCAAAAGCAGTGCGCGCTCAGCCTCTGTGTGCGCTCCCCACTCCCTCCTGCGCGTCTTAAGCCTCGCTGATGTCACTCGGAGCTGTGAGCGTCACGGGATACTCTTTTATTCCTTTCTGTTTTCGCCTCCCACGTCCTCTCCCATATCTAAAAAAGTGAGGAGCGCGCAGGAGGAGGCTGTTACATTATAGGTACAGTTTGTTTTGGTGGGTTTTCTTCTTGAATCCTTTTACTCAGGGGTCCAAACAGCAGCGCAACGAGCTGATTTTCTGATGTCTTTGGCCTATGGAAGTTCTTGAATTGTAGTACACAGGCAGTTGCGTGGAAAAAAATCATTCTCCATGAAGTCAGGCGAAAATTCATGTTATTTCAATGGCAAATGGGAGTAGTTACATAATACAAATAGATCTCTGGAACTTAGGGCACATGCAGTGATTGAGAAGGTATAACATTCAATTCAATATATTTGTGTATAGCCCTAAATCACAACAGCAGTCGTCTCGGAGGACTTTACAAAGTTGATTCAACAACGACAGATCAGAGAATCAAAACTTCTGAGCACATGGAATGTAATATTAACAAACACATACAGGAGCCATAGGGAGTGGGACGATCAATGCCCATGAATGTTAATAACTGTCCATAAATACCCTTTATTAGCCTATAGTATAAGCAAGATATGCATCCAACATGATTGAATACATTTATTCCAATATTGTCTTTTTATGCACTTTATCATTTGTTTTCTATCTCTCTCTCTCTCTCTATCCATCTATCTATCTGTAATGTATGTTTGTCTATGTATCTGTAGCTGTAAAGGTCTTATAGTGTGTATCCTGATCTGAAGAAAACATTGATCACTGAAGAAAACATTTCCCTTCTTCCAAACACATTATTTTCATGTATGCTTCTTATTGAGCCTCACCTTATTAGGGCTGTAATAGATGAATATTTTGATAATAAGCCATTGGTCCACAGGGAGCGGGATGACCAATCATCCATCGTGTCTGTTTTCATTGCTTGGTTTTCTAATCTGCTTCTTTCAGTTTTTTTCAGACAGAGCAAAGTTAGCATATGCTTTATATAGTCAATGTTACGTCACACATCGAAAGACATACGTGTCACATCAAGAGACATCGAAAGATCATGTTAGAGTCATAACATGGATGAGACAGTCATGGGCGACAGTAGTTCAGTTGGCAAGACACTTAACTTCTGTGAATGGTTGGTGGTGGTCGGAGGGGCCGATGGCACATACTGGCTGCCTCGTTTTTGTCAGTGTGTTCCAGGGCAGCTGTGGCTACAGTAGTAGTTTATCACCACCGTGTATGGAGTGAATGAATAATGACATGTAAAGTGTCTTTGAGTGTCCAAAAAAGCGCAACATGAAACCAATGTATTATTATTATTATTATTATTATTACACAATCGGGGTCCTTGTGACCTACACAAGGCCAGATCACTTGCATAGCTATCTATTTCTCATGGACATTTATTTTTATTTTTAATGTGCTGTTGTTATTTTTCTGAGCGGTACAAAATGTACCCTCAAAATCTAAACTCTCATTACATTGCATCTGACATCACAAAAAAATAAAAATAAAATCAGTTTATGGACGACACGCTTCTTTATCGGCTCCTTTCCTGATTTTTGAACGTTCCAAACCTTTTTAAAAGTCAATAACAAGAGTTCTAAATCACCCCAAGGATAAAATGTGCTGCGAATCTAAAAGATCCACGTCTGTTTGCGGTAAGCTCAAAATATTATACACAGAATGATGAAATGTGCATAAGGATTTGCAGCAGCGTGAGGCAGCATCTGAATGTATTTATCTTTATTTCAAGAACTGCAGCGGGGTTTGGAGTGGGTGCAGAAGGGGGAGAGGGAGAGATACAGTCCACAGTTTTTGACCCCATAAAATGTAATGGGTTTTTGCGCAGAGCAGACGAGAACAAACCGTGGTCTACCTGACATAATTCAGTGTTGGTCGCAGTTTTGAGCCAACCCCATGCCTCCATCTTTCAGCTTCTACAACACACAAATCCAAAATGATAGCTTTAATCTCTGCCACTTTCTCCAGTAACTCTGTCCCGTCGTGGCCCCGGAGAATCTTCAAACGGGAGGCACCAGGGTACGGATTGTATATGGCAGACCATGAAATTCTGGCAGACTTCATTACTTGTTTGGAACATTCTGAAGTATTTATCCGTCGTTATACAAAGAGATAAGACATTGAAATCGATATGTGAAAGCTTACAAATGGCTGCTACTTTTGCATGACGATGGAACGAATAAGAGTTTTGATCATAGACTGTATACAGATGGACAATGCCAACCCCCTAGTTCAATGAAGCACAATAGGGAAGTGCTCATGGATGAAGTTTTGCTCCGATTCACTCCCATTGACTTACATTGAAAAGTAAACTCCTCTAGCTTGGTCACTTCACAAATTTAGGCTTAAACAATGCTATGCTTTACCGTTTTCTATGACCCTGTTTGTATTATAATATTTGTTATAGTGGATATGAGCCTTATAAGGATTGACCAATCAGATGCCTTCATTCACAGGGGAAACTCCAGCTTGCCTTCACAACCATGTTAGCAACACACCAAGCTACATAAGGAAATTGGCTCCAGCTAGCTTTTGTTCAAATCAGCTTCTTCCCGACTAACACTGTGTCGACATAAGTTCACTCCTTCTACACGGTCTATCTTTTTGATCTGGTCTTTCTTGAGCCCCCTTTGATTCCCTCTGGCCCAATGTTACATGTTGTGATGGGAGACCACTCTAAAACCCAGAGACATTTCCGAAGCTCTAAAGTTCAAACTGTTGTTGTGTTCTTAGGCAACACACATCCACATTGCCTAGTATGAAGGCAATGTGTTTGTGTGTGTATCTTGTCACAATACCTAATTTCAAACTCTATTTTGATTCTACAGAAAAAAATAATTAAGATTAAGAGATCCTTTATTCATCCCATAGTGGAGAATTTTCAGTGTTGCAACAGACAGAAGGAATGAGGAGCACACAGCAAGATAAATGAACAATAACTACTAAAATAAAACAAAATAATCATCACTTAATGCCAATTTTGATACCACTATTTGGATGATAAACAGTAATTTGAACTTTTTTATATGGGGTTATAAGGTTTTACACAAGTTCTATAGATATGCTGTAGTTTGAAATCTAAAAAATATGATATTTTGTCCTGTTTGAGTAATTACTTTTAGTACTTTTATACTAGTTTTATTACTCAATTCTCAATGCCTTTCAATACTTTAGCAAACCCCAGTGTGTGTGGCTGTTGGGTGGCGGTCAAAGGGGTTCAAGGTTCGCTGCGGTTACGGTAGTAATTTGTACCAACGCGTTTGGACTGAATGCATTATACACTGCGACACTTTGGATGTGATAAAATAAAGGCCGCGGTATAAATGCCACGCTTATATTTTTTCTATTGGCTCTCTGACCACTGGACCAAAGCATTGTTACAAACCGAAATGTGAAGCAATAGTCTTAGATCGATTACACGCATGTCTGCTTGCATTCTATATACTGTACTTTGACTCGGAAAATATGTTGAAATATCAAATACAACCAATAACTGCATTATTAATGGTCACTAAGAATCTCCCTGTAATAGTGCGCTATGGGAGCGGACTAAAAATGGTCTTTGCTCGCTCTACTGAGCCAATGACCTATATGGACAAAATAGATGAAACAGGAGGATATTAAAGTGCAACCTTATTTCTTACTTAATTTAAATGCCGGCCGAAATTATTGGATTAGAGGTCCTGCTGCTGATTTTCCATCTCCGAAATGGTATATACTGCTTAAGTCATTTCAATGCATTTGGAACAAAAAGAAGCAAGAGTGTGTGATGTGATACTGGAAACCAAAAATTTACCGTTAGTGTTTTAGGTCAGTTTTTTAAATCCTTTTTTAACCAATTGGTTCAATGCCACAGAATTGCATTTCTATTTCAAACACACACAAGAAATACAAACACTTATTTAAAGATAAAAAATAATAATAACAACAACAAAAATGCAATTCCCCCCAGCCATTCAGACACATACTACAATAGTCTCAGATTTGGCAGTAAAAACACATACACATTCACATTACTAACTACAGCTACAAACCAATTTCAGACAGGAAAAAATATATATTCCAGTTGGTTTTCACCGTAAATGGGAATTTTTATTATTTTCTGTTTAACCTTTATGGCACTCTCCTAACCCAGCGAAAGTCCCATTGAGATTAAGAACCTCTTTTTCAAGGGTGTCCTGGGGAAGAAATGCGCAAAAAAACCCAGCTTAAAAACAGGTACAGTTCAAGCCAAAAGGCCGAGAGCCAAACATTGCATTTGACGTGGCGGCTCTTCCACATGGTTGAATTTACCCTAACCGCTCTATTACATTGATTCAGACATTCCTTCTATTACTGAACCCAAACCGCCATCCAAACCGCATTACTCGCCTGAGCGGTGTTTGTTAAATCGAAAAGCCTCCACTTTTATGCAACTCATTTGACCTCTATTAGCCTGCACACCCCATTACGCACCACCACGCCTCTCCCTTAAAACCGCCGCGCACATTCTGACTGGGGGATGTTTGCTTGTTGATTGCACCTGAGTTCAAGTGGCCCATTTTTTACCATCCGGACAACTGCTGCTAAGAGCTTGCATAAATTAAACCTTAGCAGAGGATGTCCTGGCTGTTCTGGAGTGCGCCTGCCTACACATATATGCGGCGTTGTGAATGGTGAGTGGTTACGGAGGTGCTGCTTGCCTTGTTTTTGTTGTAGCCCATCTCCCACGCAGTACATTAATGACAGAGGAACCCGACTAACCCCTGCCGGAATTACAACCGCGGCCTGCTTTAGAGAATCGCGTGACCTTCCGAGCTCTGCCATTGTGCGCGGTCGCTACACGCGCGCCGGAAAAAGCGTGGAGAATTTAAACAATAGTCATTTTGTAAAAAGTGCACTTCATTTAATTGTATGCGTCAAAACTGTAGCACGCCGGATGTGCGTTATATATAGTACTGTGTCTGGATTTGGGGAGTTAAGAAAAAGGGACGATGTGATGTCCTGTGCTCAAAGGCATCTCCTGGAAAGTGTTGTGTAAGAGCGTTTGCCCAAACCAACGCATGCGGAAAAAACTCCACCGGAGAAGATTGTGCCGAAGTCTGTAAAAGGCCACGGGGCATGATTCAGCTTCACATGTGCCTTTGAGGGACAGGGAAGACGCAACAGCAGCACATAGAGGTAGTAAATCTGCCAGTATTCATTTTCATAGATTACTTGTTGAAAGGGACAGTATGTGATATGAACCTAATGTAGTTTAAGGTTAGGTAAGGTTAAGGTTAAGGTACAATTTAGTTACCCCTGTTGGGAATCGCCTGCTTGGTTGGAATGAACACCTGCAGCCACACCGGCCCGTTGAGGACACGTTTGAAACCCCTCTGTCAGCAGCAGTGGTCCCCGCAATAAAACAACCAGGGACCACATGTACCAGGTTTTAGTGGTAGGGGAAAACAGGGCACCTGGAGGAAACCTACACTGACACAAGAGAAGTAAACTCCACTCAGAAAGGCTCCATCCGGAGGTGGAATCGAAGCCAGGAGAGTGATAAGTACTCAGCCACCCACTACTAAACCCAGAATCTTCCTGCCTGTGACACATTATTACAAAACAGTTCAGTTCTAGCAGTTTCACATGCATGTGTTTGTGGCCTCTGTCACATCTTTACATCAGAAAGAGAAGACCTGCACTGCCTCAGTCAATCAACTCTTAGAATATAAAAGATCAAATGTTATCTAATAAGAGAAAAGCTGCATGTTGTGGTCTGATCTGTTCACAAAATGTTAATTTCTGAGACAATACATTTATGAAACCAAAGGTTCTAAGGCTCAAATCAACATATTTATCCCATCTTCAACCACTTATGAACTATTGTAAGTATGTTAGACAAAATAAATGCAAGAATTCTGTTTTTACTTACTTTGGTCATTAATTGATGGCCGAAAGTGTGCCTACAAATTGGTAAAAAACCTCATAACGGATCAACACTTACAACTGTTCAAAAATCCAGATTGCAAATTTGATTCTCTTCAATGCACTGGCTACGCGTTTACACTGTATAAAGAAAAGAGAATAATCTGCACAGGTGTGTTGCTCCCAAGTGTCTTTTATTTACAGACTACAATTCCGTAGACTACACTTGTGGTCTGTAAATAAAAGACTCTTGGGAGAAACATACCTGTGCAGATTTTTCTCTTTTTTCAATCCAGCACGCTTGATCAGGCTATTGGGATGACGTTTTTACACTCACATCGCCCAGATTTATACCACAACTACTACAGAATTAAATTTTGTCATCTCCATAAGAAAATGGCCAGATTTTTGAAGGGCCTGATTTTGCCGCCGAGAGACAAGAAAAGAAAATTGAACTCCCACAGTAGGGAAATGTTGGTGTTATAAAAAGTAGCTGTAAGCCACACAGTGACATTCTGAATTTGCAGTATTGCAAATGATTGCAGTATTTACTATTTACAGATGAGATTCCATGTGGCTCAGCAGTTCCCATTATACAGTCTGACAGCACTAGAAAAGAAAGACCTGCGGAACCTCTCCTTAACACAGCGAGGATGGATCAGTCTGTCCCTGAAGCTACTCTCCAGAGCAGACTGTCCTGCAGGGGGCAACAGTCATGGTCCAGCATAAATGTTAGTATGTCCAGGACCCTCCTGTCCCCCGCCTGCTGCATTGTGTCCAGGGAACTTCCTGATGATATTGTCCATCTTCATGTAGAGGATGTAGAGGGTGAAGAGGAATGGCGAGAGGACAGTCCCCTGGGGACCTCCCATACTACAGGTCAGAACCTCAGACACACAATCCCTGGTTCTCACAAACTGGGGTCTTTGAGGTAGTCCAGGATCCCCTCAGTCAGGTTACAGTCCATCCCAGCTGTCTCCAGCTTGTCCCTCAGCTTCAGCTGGATGGTGTTGAAGGCGCTCGAGAGTTGATGTTGAATACGCATGCGTATAAACGGTTAAATACCGTTTATCATATAGGGAACAATGACCAAAGACAAAAGAGGCACAGACATATCAGATACGAGAACATTATGGCATTCAGACGGAAGTGAAAACAACAATGTAAATATATAGAAGAGATCTGCACCAGTCTTTGCCCAGAGACTTTGGTTCAAGTCTAAAAATGTTTCATATCAAAAGCTAAAAAAGTTAAGTACTGAAAAGAACAGTTTTCCTCTCTCTTGACAAGCTCTGACTGACATAATAGGCTTTTATCTGTTCCCTTGGGGCAATTAGTTTGCAGTTTCACAAGATTTCGTAAATTACACATTAATTAGTGTCAAAAGACTTCAATATGAAAGTGCTAAAAACAGTGATGTCTTCATGTTGTCTGCACTGGAACGGAATAAAAAGTCTGTAGTGTGATTCACTGGGGCAACAATGGCTCAGTTGGTAGGGCCTGAAGGTCGTGGGTTCGAGCCCTCTGTAAGACCTACTTCACGACTCCCACTGATGTCTGCTGTCGTTGTGTCCCTGTGCAACACACTTAACCCCACTTTGCCTGAAGCCTCCGCTGAAAGAACTCAGCTCCTGTGGACCACCTGCAGGAGAATCAGTGAGGGGCTGGTGCTAAGTGTACTGGGTGCAGCTCTGACTGCCACCTCCCCGACCCAGAAATGGATTAAGGGGAAGAAAATGGATGGATGGATGGTGTGATTCAGTACTAAATCAAGTGAGAATACAATCTACAGTCAATCTGGAGAAAATGAAGACAAAGGTTACAATTATATTTTTTTGGAATGTTTGCATGAATAGATTGTTGCTGTATGATTAAACAACTAGACCCAGCAGACAAATATTTTTTGTACAAAAATATTGTTATTGAAAAGGAGGCAGGTTGCTGCCATAGACTGAAAATAATAACGGACAAAGTCACGCCTATCTCTTCCGTTCTAACAAATGGGCCAAAAAATGTGCTCTACTGGAGCTATACAAAATGGCCGCGAGTGGTCCCGCCCACAAGAAAATTGAGAAAAAACACATCTGCGCATGCGTCAGCCGGCGAGAGCTCCATTCATTTAAACAAGTGACTTCAAAAATTCACAGCGAGTAAACTAGAGTGGACCAAAAAAAATCCACCCCCCTCAGCATTGACACACATGTGGAACGGAGCTTTGGACCAAGAGCCAACATTTGTACCATCCTGTAAAGACGTTTTCGAGAGGTCTGCCAATGCGATATGTTAGCATTGGCTAATTCTTTTTCCAGGTCCACCCCCATCGGCCCGGGGTAGTATTGCAAGCATGTCAGCGCACTTCATTTTGGCCACTTTTGAGCCGGGACCCGTCCCCACTGATTGATGAACGATCATCAGCAAAGTCGTGAAATTCTGCTAATGAACACAGGTGTGAGACTGTGCAGCTGAGGCACAGGTGCGAGTGTGCAGCAGAGGGAGGACTCAGCGTGGAAGGCTGCATGATATGGAAGTAGTTACCTTCTTGGTTTTAAAGGTTAGATTTTGATTATACGCTTAAAAAGACAATATGAATGTTAAGTGTACTGTGTTGGGATGAATATTTGATGGTTGAGGGTGAGTGTTGTCCTCTCTCCTCTGTTGCTGAGGGTTTGTTTGGTGGGACCGGTGAGAGATCAGGGCACTAAACTTACTGGGTTGGTTTCAAAGAATGCAACAAATGTAAAACAAAAATAGTGTGGGTGTGTATGTGTTTTATGTTCTTGATTGCTAAACACATACATTTTGTGCTTCTACAGGAGTGAATAAAGAAAATCCTGAATTGTATGTATGAATGTTTGTATGTTTAGGTATATGTATGTTTGTATTATGTATAATATGCAAATACAGTCAATTCAAACAATCAATTTGTGTTGAAATAAATCATTAAATGAAAACAGTTCAATTTACTTACAATTTACTAATTAACGTCCTTATAACTCAGACCTACATTTTCTCTAAAATGGCTAAAAATATTGATTCCAACTGATTTTGGTTTTAGGACTTTTAGAGTACTTTAGCCGTAGTTTGTGGCTGGACTCACTAGAGTTGGAACAATCTCAAATATCTAACTCTCTCTGCATGTTTTCAGGTGAATATAAACTATAGCTGGTGTCTGCTCTAACAGAATGTAGAATGACCACATGTTGGGTTTATTTCAAGATTTCCTTTTCCCGGCTGAGGGAGATAAAACTGAAAATGAGATTTATAATTGAGATTTTTTTTATAAAGAAAAAATGTCCAGACAAATGCCACATAAAATTCCTTTAAGCTTTGATAAATGTTTGATTTTGACTGGACAGTTACAGGTATACACGTTCCTTTTGATCTGTCATTATATAAAGTATAGACTAGAGGCTCCAGTCCCAGTACGTGAAGCTGCCATCTTTATTCTCAATGCAATAAAAGGATGTGGAAAATCTTTTGCCCCCCTACTTTCAGCATCTTTGCCAAATAAAACCTAGGAAAACTTGGATTTCAGGATGCTAATCTGGTTTTTAATATCTTTAAATGGCCTGGCCTCATGACCACCGCTTTCTTTTTTTTTCTTTCTTGAGCAGAGCAGCAGACACGCCAGATCTGCAGCCTCAAATAATCGAGTTGTCAGCGTGAACGTCCAGTTTTAGAACACAATACCACCTTTGTGTGTTCGTCCAGTTAAATCAATGTATTGCTTGGTATTTTCCTTTATTTAACATCATGAGCAGATGGAAATGTCCTCCTGCCCTTTTTACTACAGTCTACTCTTGTGTTTTATTAAATCACTCTAAAATGATTTCAGAGATTTTCTTTTACAAAACAGAAAAGTGAGTGATTTCCAATTCTTTTGATGTGTGACAGTGACACAATAGGGCTCTTTTAAATACCTTTTTCACATTTATTTCAAAGCAAATTTATAAAGGAAGTATTATTTAATGACCTTTATTTAATCAGGAAAGTCTCACTGAGATTTCAGAATCTCTTTATCAGGGGAGTGCTGGCCCCAGAGAGAGGGGAGGTATATAGTACATGTTTTTGGTGGTAGGGGAAACCGGAGAACCCCCGCTGAAGGATAAAGGCTATGGACTCACTGGCAGCCGTCCTCCTGTGGACTCAGCACCTGCAGGAGGATCAGTGAGGGGCTGGTGCTCTCTGAACTCCCCGACCCAGACATGGACAAAGGGTGAGGAAATGGATGGATGGATGGAAACCGAAGCACGAGGAGGAAACCCATTATGTGTTATTTTGACCTTTAACAATAATGAGACTGTATACTTTGTCATTTCATGTCAAAGTAAACAGTCTCATATCTTCCGTCAAAATGATATGCTGAAACAAGTATCAAGTGTAAATCATACTGCCTGCCTTATAATTACGCTACCACTAGGAGTTGATCAGTGATTGTAAAGAACGTAATTTGACCAAAACTAATTTATGGGCAATATTTTGGTTTTAAATCACACTATAGCAGGAATGAGACAGGAGCTTTTAGACAGAAGGGGCGGAGCTACATGTTTGTGCCAGAAGTTCCTAATATTAGTGTGCCGTGGATGGATCTAAAAACAACTCCAGTTTTTTCACTGTAACATGGTTAAAAGCCTAAAAAAGTTGATTTTTCAGGATATGTCTCCAATAAATGTATTTAACATTCATTCATTCATTTTCTGCCCCTTTATTAGTCATTTTCTGGTTTGGGAGGGTGGCAATGAAAGCTGCCACCCAATACTCATAGCACCGGCCCCTCGCTGATCCTCTGCAGCGGTGCCACAGCCTTGGTATTTTAGCAGGAGCTTCAGGCAATGTGGGGTTAAGTGTCTTGCCCAAGGACACAACGACAGCAGACATTAGTGGGAGCAGTTGGAGAAGGTCCAAAGGCCAGTGCTCTACCAACTAAGCTACTGTCGCCCCCATGTATTTAACATCATAATTCAATTCAATGTATTTTTGTATGGCCCTAATCCACAACAGCAGTCGTCTCGGAGAAAATAATTGTCAGTTCGCCTCCAACAGAATGCTCTACATCTATCAGCTGCCAGCACAGAACAACAGACAATGTTTTGTGTTTCAATCTTAAATGTGTATATCCGAATAAGTTACATGTTCATTTATAGCACATCTAAACAAGTCAGATTTCCATAACAGTATAAAACCACGTTGGAATACATGTGCAAAAAGTAGCCAGAACATAAAAACGCTCCAATTAACAATCCTCCACAGGTCTTGAAATTACAGCATGAGAAAAAGCCAAGAGATCTGCTCCATTTGTTAATAATTGTGCCCCTCAGAGATGTCTTGTGATCCTAGGAAAAGTTTACCGCACAAGGGACTGCATTGTGTCAGGCATTGTCCTCCAGAACAAGAAAGTGTATGCATCCTGTAAACAACATCCGCTCACTGCTGTTTTTCTGCAGAGTCTTGGGAAGAAGATAAAAACGTGTGGACGCAAATGTGACGACAACAATGATTCCAGGAGCCTCAAAAGTCATCTCTGTAAATATTTTGAAATGTACCTTTATAAGTTTTGTAAAGAAACCTTAATTTACAACAAATATGAATATTGATAATAAAAATAAATTGAAAGTATAAAAGTATTCTAAGTATTCAGAGTACGGGTACTACTTTTTCCAAAGTAATGGAATACTATACATGGCGGCACGGTGGCTGGGTGGATATCACTCTCGCTTCTCAGCAAGAAGGTCCTGGGTTCGAATCCCGAACGGAACAGGGCCTTTCAGAGTGGAGTTTGCATGTTCTCCCTGTGTCTGCGTACGTTTCCTCCGGGTGCTCCGGTTTCCCCTACCACTAAAAACGTGTAGTACAATAGGTCTGGCATGCGCCTCCAGTAGTGGCAACTCCGCTCCCATCTCTGTGCCTAAAAAATAACAATTGTAAACAGCTTTGTGACTCTGATCTGTGAAAGGTGGTATATAAATAAAGTTTACTAATTAAAACATTTTAGGTCATGTATTCAGAATTCTGGAACGGAATACATTTTCAAAGTATTCTTCCCAAAACAACAGTCGTGGTTGGTTGGATGAAGCAGAAGTCTTTTAAACAGTTTACACCAGTGGTTCTCTACCTTTTATGAGGCATTACTGCAATACCAAGACCTACTACTACTACTGTCTTTATTGAATGTATTTAAAACTTATCTTTTGGATCTTTAATTCACTGCTACGGTGAGACTACAAACAATTATAAGGAAAGGTTTATGTCTCGAGCTTGAAAGGCTAATGGTTTCCCTCGCATTAGTTTAAACATACTGTACATTCTTGTACTCACCCCACACATCCATATTATGTTGGATTTTTGACCGCATTTTTGCTTTTATTTAACTTTGATATGAACTATTTGAACAGAAAGAGTGCATGCTTTGACTAAATATAGTTTGTTTTCCTGATAAATGTGGATTTAAAAAGACGTCTAACATATTTTTTACATTATTTCACGCACAAACCAGGTATTTCTTTGAACTATGCACTCTATTTCTGTGTCTATGTGATCTGCACTTAAGGATGTATCGAAAGTAAAAGAAGTTTAGATTAGATACCCGATTGATCAAGGGTAATATTCCATACGGCTGAACTGAGAGCTGATTGGCTGAGTGGTTATCCCTGCCTCTAATACGTGTCTGGAAAAGCTGTTCAGATGATTTCTAGCTCGTACATCGCCTGTAGGAAGTATGTATTCCTTAAGTGGGAGCAAAACGTGATAAACATAACATGAATCGTCTGAGGAGGTGTAGACGTTGTTGATTACAAATATGAAAGTTTTTATGTTTTGAGAGAAAAATACCCAAAAATGTAAAAACACCATTGGATGCACCTCTTTGTGTATCCAAAAGCTTCGGTCGATCTGACAAACAGCGAGATTTATGAGTCTCAGACAGACACACTGACACTCATCGTAGATAGATGACAGAATGATCCCAGCAGCTCCATGTTATGTTCTTAAAGCTGGGGTACCTAACTTGATTCAAACTCCATCTAAATCGTCTCGCTTAAAACTACTATCACTGGTTTTCACGTTCATGCATTTTTGACAGAACAGTGAATGAAAGAGGACCACTCTCATTAAACCAATCATCTCTAAACCCAAAGAGTCAAATAGTGACTCACAGGGCTCTCTTTCTCACAAATATGCAAAAAGGTGAAAGGTACGGAGGTCCGATTTCAGGACTCTTGCTCAACATGTAATATTTAAGAAAAAAATAACATTGATTCAAAGATATGAACAACTTTTATATTTTTACACAGTTTAGAATTACGAGCCCAAGGGAATTATTTGCCTTGCTATTGACAAAACTCCTATGTATGTCCAATGTTATGTAACCGGCGCTGGTCATCTGACGACATTGTGTCCGAAGCGTAACATCAATGGAATAATTTAGTTTAGTTTTGGATTCAATAATTCAATAATAAAGGCCGAACAATGGTTGAGTGGGGAGCGACCTCACAGTGAGAAGGCTAGATTCTCTCTGTGTGAGTTTACATCTTTCTTTAACATCAGAAATTTAAGAAAGCAATGTCACTTTATCATTTTGTTTTTTTATTCTGAATGTACCCCTGGTTAATGCTTGTAGTAAATACACCTTTGGGCCATAAAAATATAAACTATTCTATAAACAGGATTTTCGCATTCACTCAAGAACTAAGAAGTACACCAAAACTACATTAGAGTGGGTTTCTAAATGCAGCGAGGCATCAAAGGTAAAGAGAGTGTACTAGCGCCCTCTGCTGGTCACTTTTAGAAACAACACAAGAATACATTTTGCACATTTAAGTTGCTTCACAATTATGCGTCGTTCATTCATTTCTTTACAATTGTGAAATAAGGCAAAAATCTGTCAAATCATGGATAATTCCAGCTTCCATTTAACATTTTAATATTTTTGTGACTATTTTGGCCTAAAGAATTACATAACATACAACTACTACTGTAAATGTGCATCAAACAAGGCAGATAAAACAGGGCTACTTATAAGATTCACTGTTTTTCGGCCACTCTCTCCATTTCTCCTTTTGTGACTCAACGTTGCTGCACTTCAGGTCAATACAAGTCAAACAATGTTTACTGTGCATTTTTATTAAATATGATGTGTCATTCCTCTTGACATGTATTGGCTTTTCGTCCCTTCCACATCTGTCTGTACGATCACAAAGAATGGACATTTTTAAAACATGAGCCATCTGATTTAAAACCAATTCGTTTTTTAGGTGATGATTGCATTCATACAACAGTTTAGATGTGCCCTGTTGAGAAGGTTCCTTTGAAATCTGGGTTGTTTCTTTCTGCACTAGTCTGAAATGAAACTTTTCAGAATATTTTCCTGAACCCGCTCCTCACAAAGACTTTTTTTTGGTCTGTGACTTTTTCTACGTCTCCAACACATCTGTCAGCCCTCCCCACTCACCTGCGGGTTGCTGGTTCTTTGCGTTGCAGCAGTACTGACCTGAGAACAACAGTGAGGCCTAAACACGCCACCAGAGACAGTGCTGTGATGACAGAGACCACCACCACCAGGGCCGCCCTCCTCTCGTCGTTGTGACCGGAGTGCAGGGCCGGTACCGGGAGAGCGACCGGAGGCTTTGGAATTTGAATTGGCACCGCAGTGACTGAAGGGAGAACAGGCATCAGAGTCCAGAGACAGAGGTGGGATGTCACAAAGCCCACAAGTAAATACACACTCATCATGATATGTTAGAGCACAAACGACCACAAATGAACTTAATTATTGAATCCAAGCGGTTCCAATTTCTCAAAAATGTTTGGTTAAGTATGCAAAAAAGTAAGTACCGGTAAGTAATATTCGAATAGCCTCTTTCACAGACAGAGTTACAAAGCGCTTTTCAATTGTTGTGGAAGGCCGTACACGAGGCGCATGCTGGATCTATTGTACATGTTTTTTTAGAGGCTGGGGAAACCGTGGCACCTGGAGGAACCCTACACAGACACGAGGAGAACATGCAAACGCCACACAGAAAGGCCCATCACTAGTGCCGTTTTATCACTCGTTCTCACACGTATGTCCTTTTGGCCTCTGTCACATCTGTAGATCAACTTTTTCAGTCTGACTCAGACAATTAAGTCTCTATAAATCCCTGGGTATGTAAGATTAAGATTAAGAGATCCTTTATTCATCCCACAGTGGGGAAGTTTCAGTGTTGCATCACAAGCTACAGACAGTAGGAATGAAGAGCACACGGCACAGGATAAATGAATAATAACTCAATAATAAAGTACAAAAACCCCTGACTTTTGCATAATAAGAAGCCAATTTAAAATACTAGTATAGTATATTCTAGTGCATTTACTATAGTAATTAGTGGTGAAGGAACAATGATGTAAAATGAAAAAAAAAAACACACATTTTTATCCATATGTGAAACTTTACCTGAAAGTATGAATGTGACTTTGTAAAACAGCGTTCCAGTTTGGTTCTGTAGTAAACACTGATAGGTCCCACTCTCGTCCACATGCAGCTGATTTAAGACCACAAACGAATCCCTGGTCACTACCAACGTTTGGAACTCCCTCGTCTCCTTCTGCAGATACAGATACTGGTCATAACTTGTTGATAAATTCCAATAACATAGGCCCAGTCTGAGGTGAGCACCGTGTCACTCGCTGGGGCCCAGGAAAAGTAGTACTCAGGTTTCCCGATCAGCAACCGGTGCCATGGGAGGAAACAGTCCAGCATCGCCTGACCTCCCTCCTCTGCCTCTATGCGATTCTCTAAGGAAAAAAATAATAATCATAAATAAAACCTTTTCTAGTTGTCTAAAGCTTTACTATCTGGGTAAGGTTTATACATTAACTTCCTGGTTGGAGAGATTGTGCCCTAAACACAGTGTAAAAGTAACTCAACTAATTTGTTTTTTTAATGTACATTGTCACATTTGCATTTTTTTGTATACTTCATGGTATACATAGCTTGGTCTTACCACACCATTATGCAAATTACGTCAGGGAAATGAGGATTGACCGGAGTGTGTGAACAGCTAAGGCCAGGCTATAAATGGAGGGACTGACAGTACGCACACACAGACTGAACTTGTCAGGGTGATGACATTTTGAATACTTTAACTGGTTTTGTTTTCACATAATTGGTTCTTTTGAGTGTTACTTCATGTCTATCACTTGATTATCTGTCCCCCGTAAAAGGTTTCCCCTGTGTCTCCCTGTGTGTATTTAACCCTTTTGTTGTTTGTCTATTGCATTCTTGTCCCTGTTTCTTTGTGGTCTGATTTTCGATATCTGGTTTATCCTGAATGTTGCTATTTTTGAGTTTTGTGTTTTGGGCTGTCCTGCATTTGAGTTCTTCAGTACTGAAAATAAGATATATTTCTCCGGTCTCCAGTCTGGGAAAGTCTTGAAAGTTTTTTAACATTTGTGTCTTTGTCGAGTGGTTTGACAACAGCACAGAAGTTCAGACAAATAACTTGAGAATAAATGTGTTTTCCAAGCTGCTGCCTAATGGTGCCCGGTCTAGATGAGAATGAGCCACAGACATCGGCCTCATTTCATAGAGTTTGTCCTTCAGTCACCACGACACAACTTCTCATTACGGTTTAAGAATAAAAATGGCAACAGTAATTTCCCAGGGAAAGGTTCTTCAATAGTATAGAGAAAGCCAAAGAAATGTGATCGAGCTGTCTGGCCACGAAACACCATTGTTTGAATAGAGCCGCTCTTCAGAATCAGAATCAGAATTATTTATATTGCCGACAGGAAGTCAAAGGGAAAACAAGGAATTTGCTTTGGTATATGGTGCAAGTTATAACAATTTTAAAAGAGATAGAAAGGCATGCATACATAACATTTAAAAATAAAAATAAAAATCCAATATATAAATAAAACACTAGACATTTAAAAGTGCAGATTATCAGTGACCAGAGGTATGAGATTACACCCTCAGTGCAAGAAGGAGCACTACTGCTGGGCCTTTATCCCCACCGCTGTCAGACTGTACAACAAGTCACTTTAAGTCACTTGCACTAGGACACACAACAACAAAAACTGTACTACTATTGCCATTTCTTTCATTTCCACTTTTTTATTGTACAAAATATATCCTGCATTTAACTTGTTTGCACATTTCTTTCTTTTGCACAATCTTGAGTGACTTGTGTGATATCAATAAAGTCTATCTTATCTTATCTGAAAGTGACAGATGTGAATGCAGAGAAGAAACCTGTGATCATTTGTTTCCTTAACCCACGTTAAACCAAAAGCACAAAGCTAATTGTGGTGATAAATCAAAGTTTTCTTGTAAAACATATATTTTGTATGCTTTTAGGGGTGTAACAAGGACAAGAGAATACTTGAATAATCAAAGCCTTTTCCACATAACTCTGTCATGTTGGATTCAATTGAATTAATTAATTCACTTTATTAATTCAATCCAACATGACAGAGGTCGGTGCGAAAGGCTGCTGTCACATGGTGAAAAGAAAGGAAGGACTTAAAATGCAGGGATGTAAAATATAATGATTCAATAATAAAAAAAATAAAACCCACAACTGAACATAGGAACCAGGGGAAAAAAACACAGAAACGTTTTTTTTTTTCATTTCATTTCATCTCATTTCATTTCACCAGTTACAAATTATTTAACATTTCATTTAACCAGTTACAAATAAATCAACAAAAGGTTCACACCGTGACATTGACAGCTGCTCAATATCCAAATCCAACAATTAATTTCTGACTTTGATCAGTATTTGGATCTATATTGAAAGTTTTGGAATATTACACTAGTAAAAATGTGTCTGATGTATATACAGTAGTTTTACATCATGCTTGTTGAAATTATGCTGAAGTAGAAATTCAGACTTGAAGACAGGAATAACTAAGCTCAAAGTCCTCCCACTGCTCACGGCAACAACATTAGTCAATCACACTCGGCTGCAGCACCACACGCAAATCCTCACCTGCAGCAATCAGCCACTGCCGCATCAAGCTGCGATCCATCCAAGTAGCAGCATAATTCACGCCAAAACCCTCCTCCTCCACATCTCATAATCTCTTTCCCCTTCTGCCAGCAACAATAAATGTAATCTTGAAAATAGTGTCCTCAGAGTCATATGTGTCATTGATGTAGTGTCAGATTACTTGCCAACCAATACTCAATTCTAATAATACCCATGTTTTGTCTGTTCGACTCTCTCCAGATTGAAATACCTCCACAGTCCTGGCGTCCAGTGGGAGAGGGGCAGTTGTATGTTCTTTGGCGGCAGGACATACAGTCTACGACCCTTTGGACCAGGAGTCCTGAAAATCACAGATTATGTGACAGCCGTGCAGAAGAGACTCAAGGTTTCACAATGCTGCAATCTCACCACACTTGTTTGGGCACAATCCTAAGAAAACAAACAATATTTCAATAAAGGACTGGATATTGATATTGATTTTGTGAATTATTCTCATTACCATCCACAATAAAGATCTCCAAATGCTTCTTTAAAATGTTTTTTCCCTTTTCCATGATTTGAATGGCCTCGAATAGGGTTCCTTTAAGCAGAAGTGGGATTACATTCTTTCTACTCTTTTAGGGAAACACAATCTCACCTGTGGTCGTTTGTGTAAAGCGATTAAATTCACTCTGGTACTCTGTTCTAGCTCTGTAGAGGGTAGTGAGGTCTGAAATCAAATACATAATAATACTACATGAAAATGACTTTTCGGACTCTCAAAGATAAGATAAGATAGACCTATACACATTACAGCAGAATTAAAAGGTAGGAAATAAGACCACTCAGATTGCACACATCAAACAGGATCTATCATTTAAGATACTAGATAATAAAATAAAAAACTAAAGTAATAAGATAATAAGTAAAACTCCATCTATCCATTTTGTTCCCTTTTGCTCATTTCTCGGTCAGGGGGTTGGCACTCCAGTCACAGAGCACCAGCACTTTTCTTACCAATGACCCCCTTGTGACTCAGACTTGTTTCTCTGAAGGCATCATGACCCCCGTTGATGATATTCATGAACGTTGCCTGTACAATTGCATCAGGTAGAGACAGGATGTAATTGTCATGCATTAATGAAATGGTGCGGTCACACTGAAGACAGGCCCTCACTGCTGGGACAGCGTTCAGCAGCAGCAGCAGCAGCAGGGGGGTGCAGGGAGGTCTCATACTGCCACCTGTGGGAGGCAAGCTGACAGGTGATCATCAATCTCCTCATGTGTTTCAGCAGACTGATAAACAACACTGTGAGAACTGTTGAAGATAGATTCTATGGTAATGTCACAAATGTCTTGTGAGTATGCAAAATATGAAATGTCTTCCAATAAAAGACAGCATGATGTGGTCGGAATTTTTCAAATGTTGGTAAAAAGAAATTGCCAACAAGACCAACTGAAATCTATGTAAGGAGTTTTTTCTTCCTAAAAAATGATATAAAAAAAAAAATAAAACATGTAAAAATAAGAAAACTTGAAGGACTTAACTTATTTGTACTTCATTATACGAACCCTTTAAGCCACAGTTTTTGTAGGTTTTGGACGATGATTCAAAGTCAACATAAAAGCCCGTAGCACTTATTATCTAGCTAACTTACGCTTGTTACTTAACTGTTAGCTAACGTTAATTTTGTATATTCTAACGCTATACAAGGTAGTAAACGTAATTATGAATACTACCTCCACCGGACTAATGAAAAGTATTAGTATATATTTACCATTGAAAATAAGCATTTCCCACCAGTATAATTCCGTATTTTGTTTGTATAATTAACGATATCCGTTTGTTTTTACTGGAAGATTTTGACCGTTATCCTTTTGAACTACACATCCCAGAAGCCATATTTTGATTGGCAGCTTCGAGGACCAATTAGCTGCTAGATTCAAATAAGAGAGGCGGGGCGTGAAAGTTTCTGATTCTGCGCAGTGGAGTGGTCTGGCTTTAGCTGTGCGTAGTACAGAGCTGGGCAAAGTCAGGTGCAAACTGCGCTGTGGGTGAGTCGACCTCTCATTTAACAACAAATATATGCTCTACACTTTCTAAATGTACATTAACTATTAGTGTGGGCGTATGACAATAACAATACGAGCAACTTGCGCCATTCAAACCCTAGCACAACTGGTTGTACAGGCTCCCCAGACTTGAGTGAGTGCCAGGGAAAGGACAATAGTGACTGTCCCACTGTCGTATTGATTAGACATAGATTGGATTGTTTGTTGACCATGCGCATGTATATATTGTATAATAAGGACCTGGACCTATGTACGATGTTGTTTTGTGGCGTTGTGGTGACATATAGCTAGTCACCACAACGCCACAAGTAGTAAAGGTGAAGTAAACATGTTAAGGTTTCTGTAAGACTTTTAGTTTAGTGAGATGTTTTCTTATGGCATTCATTAAAGCTAGGGTACCTGTGTTTCAAACCACAAACAAATCCAACTGTCTAATGCATACAATATTAACGCTAGATTACAACTATCAAAACAGTTCCATCTCTTGTGTTCACATGCATGTAGTTTGGGTCACATGATCAGATCAGCTCCTTTAGACACACGAAGACAACCCTCACTCTCAGCCCAAAGCATTCATTTGTGACTCACAGGGATCTTTCTTGCAAGTATGCAAAATACAACATGTTTTTTTCTATAGGATGATGATAGTATATGCTCACAAACTTTCTGTTGGGACAAACAACATGCATTTTTTTTGTTAAGTCAGGTCACCTGGCTTTAAAATGAAGATTAGGGGATTCTTATTTCGTCCCATAGTGGGGAAATTTCAGTGTTGCATCATCAGTTACAGAACAGTAGCAACGAGGAGCACACGGCACAAGTGATAGCAAGTGCACATGTATATTGTAAATAGTAACTGTAACTCTATTTTAAATTTAAATGTATTCCTTAGAAGTGTTTTTTATTATCTCTCTCCGACTGTTGCACTGAGCCAAAGCAATTTCCAAGTCTGTGACTTCCTGTTACTTACGTGGCAATAAAAAATATTCTGATTCTGATAACGATAACTGAACAATAACTCTATTCTAAAATGAAATAAAATCTCGTACTTAAGCAAAATATCTCTAATTTAAGATAAAATCCCATAAAATCCCTTTTTGAAATTTTGAGCTATTATAATTTAGTAGACACACACACACACACACACACACACACACAGAGCTTTTGCCCCTTCAGCCTGATATCAGAACCTGTTTTTATGGTATTATTGGCACTGTTATCATAAGGATTGGCGCAGACATTACACCTGCTATTAACTATATTATAGCCTTCGCAGTCTCCCTCTGCAGAGGAACACTGCTGAGGAAGTCTGCAAGGCTGTAATGAATGCCAATTCATTATATCCTCGCAGAGCAAACCTTCTGCAGCTAAAATAGAAACACATTGAAAATGTTTGAAGGATTTATTGTTTTCAATACAAAGTGCTGCAGTGACTCTGCAGCATTTCACTGCATAAAACAATACAAGTCTATTGAGATACAATAAAAGTTAGTTCCTTCCATTTCTTTCATTCCTTTCTTTCTTTCTGTATTGCCCAAGACCATATATGTTGTATGGAGAAAGTTACAAAACAGCAAAGCAGTACATCATTTTAATGAGACCTTTTTTTTTAAATGCACCAAGTTTACAGATTATTATAAAAGTTCCACAGTTCCACATCTCTATCAGCACATATATATACTGTGGTTTAATTTACATGCTCTTAAAGGTACCCACTTCTGGGTGGATCATCAAAACTATTGGTCCTCCCAATTGTCGATCATTCTGGTAATACGTTCGTCAAATAAGAACAGAGTTTTGTTCAAAAGTGGAGAGGGCGGTTCTTTCCTAAAATTTCCTAAAAGGGGTGGCAATATTCAAAAACATATGCATGATGTTGGCCAGTAGAGAAGACTTTCAGACAGAAGAATAATATAATAGTTTGTGAATCTATGTTATTTAATTTTTCACCTCTTATTTCAAAAATGCCTTCTTCCCCATAGAACAGTATCATATTGGCACCAGTCCTCCAACAAAAATACAATACTAGTAGAACATGAGCACAAGCTGTTGTTACTGAATCAACTTTTACTGTTTCATTTCAGACCCAAAAAGAAAACCATGACGACGCTTTATGGTTAGAAGACCCCAAAGTGAACATCTGGAACCGTCGTTGTCTGCAGCATGTACCAGATTGTCCCGGTGGCTCCCGGAGAGTCTCACCTGGACGGGGGCCTTGGGGACTCGCCTCTGAAGAAGAAGAAGGGGTATGAAGGGCGCCCCCTGGTGTTGGCTGCGCTCCTGGGCTGTGGGCTCATGCTGGCGGCTGTGGTCGCCTGGTGCTACTACTCTGCGTCTCTGAAGAAAGCCCATCTGCTGAACACCGAGCTGCTGGACCTGAAGAAGGACGGGTTTGTCATCCGGAACCAGGCGGGGGCGGCCATCTTCACTATGGCGTTTAGGTACCGAGCTGTTGTTTAAAATGTTCTTTTCACAATGATGACAGTGATTTGCAAAAGGGACAAGAGTGAGATTTGACATCATATTATTAACACATGCATAGGGATTTTATACTTGCTTCTTTGTTATGCAAAAGTTAGAGATGTTATTGCTCCTCATTCCTACTATTCTGTGACTGGTGACGCAACACTGAAATTTCCCCACTGTTGGACAAATGAAGGATTTTACATGACACGGCAAGGCAGGTTTATTTGTGTAGCTCAGTTCAAACACAAGGCAACTCACAGTGCTTAACAAAACAAGCTAGAAACTATCACACAAGGCATAAATAATCAGTTTATTGAAAAAATATAAAGATACAACCTCTCAGTTCTATGCCCAGATAAACAGAATTGCTATTAAGCTGGATTAGAACATTGTCAGAGTAGAAGCCTCTCTCACATTTTCAGGAAGACTGTTACAAATTTTAGCTCCATAAATCTGAAATGCTGCTTGCCCATGTTTAGATAAAATAAAAACCCATTCGTTTTGACACATAGGACTGTCATGTCTTGTCCCCTGTAAAACAATACTACTGTCTACTAACAGAGTGCCTCAGATCTCTCTTTAATGGTTTTTACAAATGTTTTGAATAAAAGTTAACATTGCAGCCCTGTCACTCTTCACCGTTGCTTTTTGAGAATCTCACGCCTAGTCCTTGACCTGGTTTTGAACACAGAGAACCCATTGAAGCCTTCTCTATTCTGCTCTTACTCAAACCATTATCTTTTTGTCGTAACGTTCCCAGGTCTGGTGTTCTGGATTTGGATTCCTGCTCAAAAGAGAAAAACCTTCTGAGATGCACCCGCTCTAACTCTGGGAAGGTGAACTTTTTCATCCAGCCGGTGCGGCCCAAAGACACGGTGACCACACGATGCTACCGCGTGCGCTGGGAGGAGCTGGAGGAGAAGGCCCTGGTGGAACACGCCATGGGCTGCAATGGTTCTCACTGGTACGGAGGAGCAGAGCTGGCCACGCAACACTGGCCCATCAAAGTGCGTGATACAGCTTTCTCTTTTTTTACAGTAGTGATGCTGATGTCACCCTTCGTGTTAGCAGAATATGAAAGAAGCCATTTTAAACATTAACTAGGAGCCCTTAAGTAGTACTAGCTTATTTACACTGATCATTTTATTAGAAGATCATTCTAAGCCTTAAGCATGAGCCAATTTCCTTATATGGGCATTTGTTCTGAAGAGGTTAGCTTTGTGCTTTGATGGGGGCAGATATAAACAAATGTGTTGCTAACAGGGTTGGCAATAAACAAGGCAAGCTGGAGTTTCCCCGGTGAATGAAGGCATGTGATTGGTCATTCCTTATGGCTCATGATCTGCAATATTAAAAAATATACACTTGGATCCTATAGATTTTTATGGCTAAAAATGGTCACTGAGCCAGAGGAGTCAATTGAGGCCAGACCAAGTTCGAGCAAAACTTTGTCCACGAGTACTTCCCTCCATTGAACTAACAGGTTAGCATTGTCCATCTGTATACAGTCTATGGGCATTACCTGCATGTGAAAACCTCCTCTTGTCAAATACCAGACGTTAAGCAGGACAGAGCCTGGTTAGTACTCCATCCAGTGGCTGATTATGGCCATATGCAGCAACTTGGCCCCAAAAAAGCACTATGCAATTAAGTTTATACCAATGCATTGTAATAATCATGACTTTTTATAGTAGTTTCAGGCAATTCTCATCTTGTGAATTTAAAAAAAAAAAGAAAAGTAAAGAATGCAGAGAAGATTATGATTCATTTATTTATTTCAGAGCATAAGTATAAAAACAATTCTATGCCTTATTCTTAATAGTTCAACAAGATAAAAGTGCTCACATTCCACAAATTTTGCATAAATTAAACTGGCTTTGGAGCTGGCAACGACCTTATCTGCAGTGTCCAATCACATTATCACATTATCCAGGAACATTATTACGATCGAACTTGAATAACCAGAAAAAAACATGGCAAATTTTGAGTCATCTTAAATATATCATATGTTTTTAGTGAGATAAGCCGTCCAACCTGTCGTAGGTTCACTGAAATTCCTCCTGGATTAATAAAGTATTTATCTTCCATTCTAAGATCCATGGGGAAGAGGAGCCACGGCCCTTCATCACCAGCGACGTCTACTCAAAGAGAAGTGCTTTTGGGGGGATTCTGGAACGTTACTGGCTTTCTTCCAACGCTACAGCCATAAAGATTAACGACTCGGTGCCCTTCCATCTGGGCTGGTCTGAGCAGGACAGGACTCTGCGGTTCCAGGCCCGGTACCAGGACTCTCCCTTCAAACCCGAGGAGGGACGGCCGGCGCTTCCCGAGCTCAGCTACAGAGTCTGTGTGGGCTCCGACGTCACCTCCATTCACAAAATCATGGTAAGTGAAGGCTGCAAAAGAGGATTTCATATGAGGTGATACATACTTTAGGACCTCCACTAGCGGGTAATGTAATCACCAGAGTTTGTCTGTCTGTCGAAGTTAGTTAGAGAAGAAAACTCACTTTTATTTTCTCATAAGATTTCTTGATAATTACAGAGATTATTATCAGTAAATGTCAGAATTTGGACATGGAACAATTTATCAAATTGTTCCCCCATCTATTCATTCAGTCATTTAATGTATTTGTTCATTTCAAGCTTATGAACAGGAATGAATTAGTGTAATTTAAAGTATTTACATATTATACATACACAGAGTCGGAAGACGTGAAACTTTTTTTTGATTTTTGGAATGGAGCTACTCCTCTTGGCGGATGTCTGTGCTCTATACAAATGTTTTTTCGAGTGCATGTGAATCACTTTGGGCAGCTGGTGGTGTTGTAAATATAAATCAATAAATTATAGTTGACATTTAAATCTGTCTTTAAGCAGACATCTTTTTCATGCCTTACAGTAAAAACATTTATTGGAGTAAATAACCATAGACTGAATCTGTATTCAGTAAAACCTACTAGTGTCCTCGAGCTTTCAAATTGACCTTTTTATGAGATGAGGGAACACCAAGTTGGATAAAGTGTAATTAGATGTGTTTTTAAATGCCACGTATATAAGTAAGTTTTAATTATACAGCGCCTTTCACAGAAGTTTCTGTACAGTAGACAGCTTTACAGTAAAAGCAGATAAAATATGTTGTGTTTAAAAGTATTTTAACAGTTTGAAATGTGCATCTAATATCTAAAATGGCCAAGACAACAGCAGAAAATCAAGCCAAATAGGGTTTTAGATTCCTTTTGAAGCAGATTCTGACCCACAGCCCTCAAAGCCCGAGTGGGGGCTGGATCAGATCGCTGCTGTAAGGAGAGGCCTGACCATGCAAAGCTCTAACTGTCAGAGCCAGTACTTTGAGATCATTTCTGTAGGACACAGGCAGACAATGGAGAGCCTTGAGAATAGGGATATGTGAATCCTCATATTTGTGTAAGAACACGAGCTGCAGAGTTTTGCACTCGCTGTAGGCTGCTTCTTATTTAAACACTTTGATCAAATGTTATGCCACAAAAGTCAAGAAAGATAAGGAGGAAGAGCAGGGAATTCAGCTGCACCTCATACTGTATAAAGCAGTCATTGTTTTGGTGTCTCAAAATTACTTTCAGTTCTCCTTAGGGACATCCTTCAAGTTTACATTTCATTTCATTTAAAGAAGAAATATTACACATTCATTTTGGCCATTGATGATGATACAACGATAATGAGACTATTTACTTTGTCATTTCATGTTTTAGAAGTAGTATCAAGCTCTTAACAATGCTATGGGCCGTATCTCTGTAATGCCACCAGAGGGAGGGATTTGTTTCACTGGAGAAAATACTTGATGAGCAACACTTTAGTTTTGCAATGTGAAAACTTAGTGTGATGTCATCATTACTATTATAGGACTGAGACCCGAGCTTTTAGACAGAAGTTACATTAATGTGCCAGAAGTTCCTGATATTAGGGTGAATCTACAGTATCTAAAAGCTACTGCAGGTCTATGATTGATGAGGGAACAAGAGATTGATCAGACATGTCAGTTTGTGATCTATGTTAATCTGAATGCGGGATGAATAATCTGTGTGTCCTGGTACCTAGTGTGCACTTGTATAAAGTAGAAATGCTAAGAAAATATTTTTATGAAGGTTTTTGATGCATGCCTTTTTTTAAATGATTGATTTTTATTTTTTAGAACTTGTTTGCATCATGAACTAAAGCAAATTCTAGGTTTGCTTTGGTTCCTTTTTTATCTCTCCTACAAGGGATTTTATGAGTTTTTTTTATCCCTTCATGATTCTTTTTGACGTTTTATGTACTTCTGATGCTTTTGCTCTGTTCTGTTTGTTTGTGGTGTTGTATTTTGACCTGTAGCACTTTGAGGTTTCCTGTAAATGTTAGGTGCAATATAGATACATTGTATCAGTGTTATTATTATTATTATTATTCGTGACTTCCTGTTACTTCATGTTACTTACAATGGCAATACAAAAATACAAAAATAATTCTGATTTGGATTTTGATTCTTCATCTTATTTATTTAAATGTTTTCCTCCAGGTGCGCAGGTATTTCCCAAAGCCCATAAAGGTGCCATCCCACGACGTGTTCAAGCACCCGGTGTGGTCCACGTGGGCGCTCCACAAGTCGTCCATCACCCAAGAGAAGCTGCTGCAGTTCGCCTCCGACATCTCCTCGCACGGCTTCTCCTCCTCGCACCTGGAGCTGGACGACCGCTACACGGCCGACTACGGCGAGTTCGACTTCGACCCGCAGAAGTTCCCCAACGCCAGCGGGATGTTCGACACGCTGCGAGAGTCCGGCTTCAAGGTGTCGCTGTGGACTCACCCCTTCATCAACTACGACTCCATCAACTTCGGCGTGGCGGTGGAGAGAGGGCTGTTCGTGAGGGAGCCCTCCGGGGAGCTTCCTGCGCTGGTGCGATGGTGGAACGGCGTGGGTGGGATTTTGGATTTTACAAATCCGGAAACTCGGGAGTGGTACTCGGCTCACCTGCGCGCTCTCAAGAACCGCTACGAGATCAGCTCCTTCAAAGTGAGTGTCGCCGTTTTTTTCTTTTTGTCGTTTTGTTGTTGGATTTAGGTTTTAGTTTGGGTTCAATTTATAAAATGGTTGCTATAGGTAACATGCACACACACGCATGCCCACGCGAACTTACACGCACACAATTAGCCACACACGCATACAATCACACAAACACGCTCAAGCACACACACGCATACAATCGCACAAACACGCTCAAGCACACACACGCATACAATCGCACAAACACGCTCAAGCACACACACGCACACAATTAGCCACACACGCATACAATCGCTCAAGCACACACAGACATAATCACACAAACACAAACACGCCCAAACACACACCCACACAATCGCACACCCAAAATCGCTCAAAGATACACACACGCACACAATTAGCCACACACACACACACACACAATTGCTCAAACACATAAACACGCTCAAACACACACTCGCTTGCTCAAACACACACACACACAATCGCACACCCAAAATCGCTGAAAGTTACACACACACAATTGCTCAAACACACAAAGACATAATCACACAAACACACTCAAACACACTCGCTTGCTCAAACACACACACACACACACACACAATCGCACTCCCAAAATCATTCAAAGATACACTCACTCACGCACACAATTGCTCAAACATACACACACACATACACAATTGCTTGACACACACACACTATCGCCCATACGCACACAAACCCATGCAATCGCTCCAACGTGCACACATACACACAAACAAGGGATCACACAATTGCTCACACATTCATACACACACACACACAATTGCTGAAACACACACTATCACTCAAACATACACAATCGCCCACACATACACACATACACACAAACAAGGGATCTCTAGTCACATGTCATAATATTACACTCAATAAGTTACGTTTATTTTTTTTCACGGGTAAACGTGTATCTGTTTCAGTGAATAGCGCTGTAGCTAACCTGTCGTGTGCTCTTCCCAGTTTGACGCCGGCGAGACGAGCTACCTCCCGCGTCAGTTCAGCACCAAGAACCCGCTGTCCGACCCGTCCACGTTCACGCGGCGCTACAGCGAGATGGCCGTGCCCTTCAGCGAGCGCGCCGAGCTCCGCGTGGGTTACCAGAGCCAGAACATCTCCTGCTTCTTCCGCATCATCGACAGGGACTCGGTCTGGGGCTACGAGCTCGGCCTCAAGTCCATCATCCCCACCGTCCTCACCATCAGCATTCTGGGATACCAGTTTGTGCTGCCGGACATGATCGGAGGGAACGCCTACCCCAACTACACCACAGGTAAGATACATAAGATCGATAAGAAAAGGTAAGATACAGTAGGTATAGATGAGATAAGATAGATATAGGGTAGATAAGATGGATATAGGGTAGATAAGATAGATATAGGGTAGATAAGATAGATATAGACTCAAAGATAGATTCAGAGTAAGGCTGCAGCCGATCACTTCCTCTGCAGAGCGCACAATGCGCTGTAGTCTCTGTTTGTCCCTGACTGTGGCTCCAGCGAACCACACGGGGATGGAGGAGGTGATGGAGGAGGTGAGGATGGACTCGATGATGGCCGTGTAGAACTGCACCAACATCTGTGCAGGCAGCTTGGCTTTCCTGAGCTGCCGCAGGAATAGATTAGATAGATAGATGAGATGGATAAGATGGATAAGTTAAGATAGATGAGATGAGATATACCTTTATTCATCTCTCAGAGGGGAACTTTCATTACAGCAGAATTAAAGTGGACCCCATGAAGATTTACGACCCTTTGTAGACACTAATTAGCCTGGCTCCAGCCGACATATAGCCCCTCCGACATAAAATTTCAGTGAGCTTTTATGTAGGCGGGCTAAAGTTCGGTCTGGAGCCAGGCTAGACGCTAACAGGAATCCAATTAAATAATCAAGTTTTAACACAGTTCTTAAAACCCGAGAATCTTTTGTCTCTCGTGCCGTTATTCTGCACGCCTCTCAGGAGCAGAGAGTGCTTAGAAAAGGCAATATATAAAAAATACATTTCAACTTTAATCCTTCCTGTGTTTATCATTTGATCAATTATTGGTTTTATTCATTTCCAAGAACGGGGGAAATCTGAGGCTCTCTTAACAGCAAATCAAAATACTTGAATGAACAAGGACGAGTGTTTTTTTCACTGCTGATCTGTAATTGACTAAACCACTGTAGCGCTTATCTTTCTTGAACTTTTTTTAAACCGTAATTTCCTTTGGGATTGATGAAGTACATGTATCTATTCTATTCTACAAATGAATAATATGAATGTAATGAAAGTCTACTTACATATTTGGCTTTTTTGTTTCCCACATAGATCTAACAACAACAGACCATACGTTAAACTTTGAAATAACTATTTCTGCAGGAGATGGAGGTCTCCCCGACAGAGAGCTCTACATCAGATGGTTGGAACTTTCTGCCTTCATGCCAGCGATGCAATTCTCAATCCCACCCTGGGAATACGACAAAGCGGTGAGGCCTCAAGACTTTTAAGCAAGATTTCCTTATCACTTTTATAATCATTCATATAATCATCAGTTAAGAATTAGTTGGATCAATAATATTTGGATTAAGTTGCTAAAGAAACTAAAAGCTACCCAGAGACCTACTCAGGCTTGAGGTCTCTCCTCTGTGTACCTTTTAGTATGCTTTTTAAAAATGTTCTTTACTGTTTATTTTAGTGTTTTTTTTATATACATTTTGGTGTTTTATCTTTTTTATTTTGACTGTTAATTCAATGGTATCACGCTATTTAACACAAAGACCCAATTGAAACTCACTAGCACAGTGGCGGTTACCAGCAGCACACCTCAACACGAGCTTCTTTCTAAACCACTAGATACAGACATGGAAAGTGACAATGCAACAACCACAAAAACACACACCATTGCAGAGCTACGGGAAGAAGTCCTTTTCTCACAGCAAAGTTGCATGAAAAACAATTACTTGAGTACAAACTCAAGGTCACCCCTGTCATCACAAATGCCCATATAAGGAAATTGGCTCCATCTTGCTCGATGTGTTCAATCGGCCCATTCCCCAGACACTATGGAGACGTCAGCATTCCTGATTCACGGTCTGTGATTTTTGCAGGTGGTGGAGATTGCGCAGAAGTTCACAAAGCTCCACGAGACGCTCGTGGCCCCACGAGTGCTGGAGCTGGCGGGGGAGGTCCTGGACACCGGAGACCCCATCATAAGGCCTCTGTGGTGGATCGCCAACGACGACGAGGCTGCCTACAAGATCGATTCCCAGTTCCTGATCGGAGATGATCTGATGGTGGCCCCGGTGATGGAGCCGGGGAAACAGGAGCGGGACATCTACCTCCCCGCGGGGCGATGGCGAAGCTACAAGGGCGAGCATTTTGATAAAGGGCCAATTTACCTCACGGACTACCCTGTGGACTTGGACGAGGTGGCCTACTTCATATGGGTCCACTGAACGGAGAGACGATGACAAGACTCCTTTTAACACTAGGACTCCCAGAACAGTCATTTTGACGGCTCCCATTCAAATCAATGAGCAATGTGGTTCTATAAGCAATTTATCAAATTTTTACCTTTTTAATGATTACCTTTTTAATGATTGCTAAAACTGATAAAAGTACAATTTCAGACCTGCCAAGAAAAAAAAGATAATTTCATGAAAAATAATGACATATAGATAAGCTACATATAGATACAGAAAAAGTCACAATGTTTGGGAGAGAAAAGATGTAGAAAAATATAAAAATGGACTACTCTGGGAGTTCTAGTGTTAAGGAGGCTGTACTTAATTATCTTTTCTTCCCATATTGCCAAAGCACAAATAGTGTTATCCCAGTACGACAGCTCACCTACTGCGTTTTTAATCTTTTAGTCAGAGTTCTAACGCAGGTTCCTCTCTGTGCACTGTCTAAAAACGTCCCAGTCGAGCCGTGGGTTCTTCTCGTTCTCTGTGTCCTCATTATTGCTGATCTAAATCTGATTACCCGACTTTATCGCCAGAGAAACCGGAAGTGCTAATGTGGCTAACTCCTGTTGCTAGCTTTTCCCGTCACGCTCTTGGTCTTAAAGTTTTTGTAAAGAAGCCTCTAAACTCATCGCATTGAATAATAGCACAGGTGACATCACACGCTCAGACAAACAGCCGTATGTGGCCATCTGTAAATAAATGGGAGAATAAATGTTTTAAAGGGAAGCTTGCTAAAACACTCTAACTTAAGTAGCTCACACTGTTTTGGCTTCTTTCCCTGGGAATAAAAGGCCTTTCCGTCCTCGTCTGGATGTGGGTGTGTCCTTGGAGCGTAGTGGTTCTGCTGGCGCCCCCTACAGCTTTGATTAGCTCTGCTCCAATAGCCTCCCTCGATTGGTTCTCTATTTTAATATTTAAAAAAGCGCAAAAATCAGGGGTAGGGTCTTTTAAGGCGTTCTGTCCAAACTCCTGCACACGCAAGTAGAATGCAATTAGGAAATATGTTATTAGGCTAATCAACAATTATGTCGTGTGTTTGATTTGGCCGATGAATTTAGGTAAAGGCATCATTATATAATTTTTAAATGTATTTTTGTGTAGCCCTAAATCACAAAAGCAGTCATTTCAGAGGACTTAACTAACAAATCAGAGAATCTAACAGTTTAAACACAAGAATTACAATTACACCGGAGCCATTGGTCCATAGGGAGCAGGCGGACCAATGTCCATAAATGTCCCCAAATGTTAATAATTGTCCTCAAATGTGCCTTTTACATTGTGCCATCCAGTTAAAGTACTTAAATATAGGTGCCATCCTCTTGTGTGACTTCCAAACTCACTGTAGCAAGTCCCAAGTGAAGCCATTTCAGATCTGTGCCTACAATAGAACGTTGAATGTGATCCGCTGGGCTTCGTTTGTTTTTAAATTATTATTATGAATTATTATTATTATCCAGTGCACTAACTATAACACAAATGTTTCTGATTGTTTTTAAAGGGAACTAGAATTGTGTATGTATTTATTTCTGTTAAAGAGGACATAACATGTAAAATGGACGTTCACAGCTGTTGACTGTTTTTAGAAGCTTTGTCATCCTCACACTCAGTTGTTTTTGAGCGATTTGTGTTTGAGAAGGTTTCCTCCAGGTGCCCCGGTTTCCCCTACCACCGATAAGCATGTACAATGAACTCCTCCACTGTGGGGTCAGGACTCTCTCCAGGACACACATTCATTTCAACTACAGGATGGGCCGATATATTTCTGGGCTCATCATTAACCTTCTTTATTTGTTTGTTGCCATTTTGAATTTTTGGGGGGGCCATATTTATGAGCTTTTGAACCATAATGCAAAATTCACTTGTTGTTAGTGGTTGTGTGAAGCCATCTGTCGTCAAATAAACATATTTTCTGAAGCTCTCTCGACAGTAAACTAAAACAAATTGCAAAAGGGGCTGGCTACGCGTTTCGTACGTAGAACCTTTCCTCTTTTGTTTGATCCTGAAGGAAAATTGAGCCACTGAAGTTATTATCTTTCTTCAAACTTAAAAATATGTACAGCAGAAACTCCTCTTCTGGCCCTAATCAGAAGTCTCCATCCCCTAGTTCTCTATAGTGTGTGTCTTCCCCTTTAATATGACAACTTTATGACGTCTTTTGTGGTGGTTGTGGATGCGGTTCTTTTGCCTCTGATGGTAAAGCTGGACATTCTTCTTGACAAAAAGCCTCCTGAATGTTATATTTGACAATACAAGGCAAGATTATTTGTATTGCACAGTTGATACACAAGACAATTCAAACAAGATGGAAACATTACAAGGCATTAAAAAACCATGAATAATCCCAAAACAAATTGACCCACCACCAGTAATTCAAAAAAAAAAAAATTCGAATTGGATTTTGAGGATTTTTCCTAACCCAGCCTGAGCTAATTTAGGGTATTTCTCTTCTACATGTAATCACTGTGGCAGACCCAAGGACAGCGAAAGTGAAAAATAGTGAAGATGAAATCCCTCAGTTGTCTGCACAGAGAAACAGAACACCAAAAATGGCTTCTCACAAACACTAGGAATGAGTCTTGGCAAAGTCATTTTGTTAGAATTTATAAGTTCCCATTGGTGGTTGCTGCTATGTGTCCTTGAGCAAGACACTAAACCTGCTCTGTGTGTGTGTGTGTGTGTGTGTGTGTGTGTGTGTGTGTTTGTGTCTGTGTGGATGGGTGAGTGGTTCCTTGATGTAAAGTCCTTTGAGTGAAATCCATTGACATTTTTCTTGAAAGGAAAAAAAAAAGTCCATCATTTTGATTTTGAGTCTGACCAAAGCCTCTAAAGCTGAGTGTACAAACTGGTTTCTTTGATTCCCTTGAGCAGACAGAAGCTTGTTACGTCCTCTCTCATCTCTGACACTACTGAATGCTGTCCTACACTATGCCATAATTCCACGTGCCGTCCATTCCTGCCTTTTGAAATATGAGAACGCAATATTTCATGTCTGTGCCAAATGAAAAAATATTGTTGTAGCTATTTATGCAGTATGTTACCTCTACTTTGAAACATTTGCATTAAATTAACCTGGTCAACCGTTAGTGAAGAGTGAGTCATTGCAGCAGGATATATGTGGTGAAAAAAGGCAGTTTAGGTATTTCCGCCAGTTGCTATTTTTCCATTGGACTAAATCAAGTGGTCTTTGTGGTTTAAAGGGGAAGATAGAAGCTTTGAAGCTTTGTATTGACCACAAAAACAATGTAAAAATCATTCAGTCTCTTTTCTTGTAATGCTTAAAGCTAGGGTAGCTAACGTACTTGTCAATAACCCTTTCATTTTCAATACAATACAATACAATACAATACAATTTATTCTTGTATAGCTCTAGGTCACAACAGAAGTCATCTCAGAGGACTTAACAAAACCATTGAAATCACCAACACAGGTCAGAGAATCAACAGTTAACACATGGAGAATATAAAGCACACACAGAAGAAAATGTCCATACATGTTGTAGAATGCTAAAGTGTCCTGATCATCACCAATCCTTTCTGTTGGACACTAACTGTCCAACAAGACCCTCCTGCATCGACAAGGAAAAACTCTTAAAAAACCCAGTGGGAAAAAGTGAGAAACCTTGGAGGAGAACTAGGGAAACCCACAGGGAGGGAGACCCACATGAGAAAGGGATCCGCTCCTCCGGACGGACAGGCTAATGATCTAGGACCTAAGCTAGCTACAGGACCAGCTTCTTTCTCCAAATACTTGGAGAAAGAAGCTTTGAGGTTTTTTTTGTGGGTTGCAAAAACATTGGACATGTTTTGGTGAAAGTTTAGTCATTTCTTATAACATACAAATACTATAAAGAGAAAGTAAAACACATGTGTTTGTCATTTTAAGATGTAGGAGCACTAATAAAAAAACAAATTAGTTGTGAAAGCCCTAGATATTTTTTTAAATTATAGGCCTTTACCAAACTGGCCTCCTGCTGGGACTCTGAGGAGCACAGGGACTGGCCTCCTGCTTGGACTGAGGAGCACAAGGACTGGCCTCCTGCTAGGACTCTGAGGAGCACAGGGACTGGCCTCCTGCTGGGACTCTGAGTCAGAACTAAACATGTGGAGGCTACATTTCAGATCTATGCAGCTAAAGTCTGGAACAGTCTTCCTGAGGATGTGAGACAGGCTTCTTCTCTGGCGATGTTCAAATCCAGGTTAAAGACGGTTCTTTTTGCCTGTGCTACAACTGGATTTTATCTTTACTCTTATTAGAGTGAGGAACCAGCCAGATAGATCTGCTGTTCTTCTTTCTCTGTTTTGTGGTTTTAAACTTGGGGTCCCCAGCTTTTCAGGGCGCCACCTGCATGTGAAAGTTAGACCTCTGGAGCTAAGCAGAGCAGGATTTGGTTAGTGCTGTGATGGGAGACCTCTGGGAACGCCAGGTGACACAGTGATGCAGCTGTTGGTGTAAAAACCAGTGTCTAAACCAGGACTAAACCCTAGTCCTAAGCCCAGGACTAGACACAGTGCTTGTGAACAAATGCCTCCAGCCTGAGTTCTCATTCTCCTGTGACTGTAAACAAGTGCTGCTAATGTTTTTCGCAAATGCGAAAGCACTGTTCAATGATAAAATAAACATATGGCGCAATTCCGTGAACACATACTACTGTTATATGAAGGGTCTGGAAGGTCTCTGGACACAGAGACACTGCAGAGCTGCATTCTTGGAGAAGAACTTAAAGTAGTACTAGAATTTAATATGCTGCTATCCAGAATATATAACTACAATATGTGTTTATAATATTTCGGGTGTTCATTTTGACATGTTCAGATGAATTATGTTAAAAAAACGGCTTTCAAGTGGCACTTTTTCACTTCCGCATAGAAACGCTAGGGGGCGCCAAAATGGCGGCGATGACGTAGGAGGAGGGCATCTCACAGCAGCAGCAGCAGTCTGGAAACTGTAGGAGGTTTCACTGTCATCTGAACAAGGTAAAAACATATTTTCATCCGTTTTGTGCATAATAGTGTGCAATTCTTTTAACCTTTTAGCCTTATTTGTGAGATTCAAGCTAATTAGTGTTGGCCAAGTTAGCTAACTCTACTTGATATCATAAAACATGCTAACAAGGCTAATATTCGTTTTTACATTATGCCAGGCTCACTGTGGTTGCCTTGAATTTATTTACCACAATGTACATTGTAATATCCATAAATGTTAACACCTATTAACGGTTTAATTAGCATTTTTATCAATGATTGCATCACATGTAGTCTATGTTTTCAACTTCTGCAGCTTTTTGTTCATAAAAGTAAAATATTTATTTAATTAGTTATTTTGATTAGCATTTTTGAATATTACAATGTACATTGCCACTTCCGCGGAACACCCCTTCATGCTGTTCTCCTGATTGGATTAAAACTGTAGGATACAAGAGTTTTATCCTCTGCACAGATCCGAGCAGAGTGACTGAGAGATCCGTGTTTCGGTCTAAACACTCTATATAAGTGATTGCTATTGAAACATATGACTGTTTAAGGCTTATAATAACACAAAAATGTAAAACTGTAAACAAGCAATTATTTTGTAATAATTTAACGTTTCTTTTCTTCTTTTGTTAAGCACCTTCAGTTGCCTTCTGTACGAACTGTGCTATAAAAAGCATGTGTTACCCTGCCTTGAACTCTCTCTTTGGGGATCTACTTGGAAGGGGGTGGTGAGCCCTGGAGTGGACAATAGAACAAAATAGAACCAGAACTTTCAAAAATAGTCAGAAAATAATAAAGTCTAGACTGTGATTTTGATTTATTTATTGATTACCTCATGAAAAACAGTGCATGTCTTTAAAATGAATAACTTTTCTTTAAGTTTGAAGAGGTTTATATTCAGTAGTGGTGTGATCAGAGCACACAGAGGGTAAAGATGGCGGAGGCGAGCAGCGGCAGGACGATGCTGGGCCCAGTGGGAGCGAAGCCGTTGCACAAGTCAGTGCTGCAGCAGGCCATGCAATTACAGCTGTAAGTCGCTTGGGGTATGTCTATCAGTTTTGAACATCGAGAGACTGGAATTCTTGCCCATTCCTCCTTGCAAAACAGCTCGAGCTCAGTGAGGTTGGATGGAGAGTGTTTGTGAACAGCAGTCTTCAGCTCTTTCCACAGATTCTCGATTGGATTCAGGTCTGGACTTTGACTTGGCCATTCTAACACCTGGATACATCTATTTGTGAACCATTCCATTGTAGAGTTGGCTTTATGTTTTGGATCATTGTCCTGTTGGAAGATAAATCTCCATCCCAGTCTCAGGTCTTTTGCAGACTCCAACAGGTTTTCTTCCAGAATGGTCTTGTATTTGGCTCCATCCATCTTCCCATCAATTTTAGCCGTCCCTGCTGAAGAAAAGCAGCCCCAAACCATGATGCTGCCACCACCATGTTTGACAGTGGGGATGGTGTGTTCAGGGTGATGAGCTGTTTTGCTTTTACACCAAACATATCGTTTTGCATTGTGGCCAAAAAGTTTCAAAATTTTGGTTTCATCTGACCAGAGCACCTTCTTCCACATGTTTGTGTCTCCCAGGTGGCTTGTGGCAAACTTTAAACGAGACTTTTTATGGATATCTTTGAGAAATGGCTTTCTTCTTGCCACTCTTCCATAAAGGCCAGATTTGTGCAGTGCACGACTGATTGTTGTCTTATGGACAACAATCTGCAGTAATCTGTGCATCTGGAGTCAGTATCAATGCATGAGTAGCACCTCAGGGCCAAGGCTGGGGGCATGAACACAAACAAAATGTTTTGTTTTTTTCACAGGCTTTTTTTCTTTATGCTTGAATTATTGAGGGATTTTAACTGTCAATTGAGTTTTTAAAAATAAAGAAGATAAATAAAATAAATGAAATAAATTAAATGAATAAAATTAATAAAAACAGGATCCTACTGTTGCCAAAAAAAAGTTGCACGTTTACATTTGTCAGCCTGATTTTCTTGTAGGAAAACACTTCTCAGATGTGCTTCAAAAGAACGAACTGGCTTAAAGCTGGGGTTCCCAACTTTAAAACCAAATAGTTTTAGCGTCAAATAGTGACTCTTTCTGTTGGGGCAAACAAAATGTATTATTTATGAAAGAAATCGGGTACACCAGCTTTAAGTGGCAATAGTGGACACAGATACTTCTTTGGTGGTTTTTACATCCACACCTCTTTTTTGCCTCAAGTGAATCAGAAATGAACTGGACAATTAGTAACATTTGGGCTAAGATAAACTTTATCATATTTCCTGCATATTTTTAATCTGCATTTTTATATATATTTCTCATTGATGTTTCACACTCACCTGAAGAGAGGCCCATAAGGAGAAGGCACACTTGGATGGTGGTCTTCATCTCTGCAGCTGCTGATGCAGAATGAACAAAGCTCGTCATACTGCTGGCAACTCACTGCCACTTCCTCATTCTTGGCCAAGTTCATTGTAGCGTTCAGAAGAAATAGGCAAGGCAAGTTTATTTGTATAGCATAGTTCACACATGGCAACTCAAAGTGCTTAACAAAACTAGATAAAAACAACAAGGAATTAAAATCATAACATAAATCATGAATAAAGTACATCAAAGAGAGTGTAGATACAATCCTTCGGTTGTATGCACTGCTAAACAGATTTGTTCTTTACCTGCATTTTCAGTGGCGTCTAAAATGGCAGGTAGACCACAAATGGTTTACCAGGAATTAAATATATAAACTCTGCCAATACCCTCTGGACTGCCACTTTACGTGGTGGGAGAGTCGGAGTTTGAGTACTTGGATGATCCTGGGAGCTATGTTGTCTAGGGCTTTATGCCCCTGGTAGGGTCTCCCATGGCAAACAGGTCTCTGTCTGCTGCTCTGACCCTCAATATGGTCTCTGTCAGCTCTGGAGACACATTTACTGCTCAAACTGCCTCTAAATGTAGCCTGACCCTTCATGTCTGCTTCACCTTTGTCTGCTCAGGCAGTAATCTTTGACCAAGACAGAGAGTTCTGCTGCCACCTGCTGGCACTGAAAAACAAACAAATAATTATGATTCTTTGGCGTACCACTAGAGAGCCCCACATACCCCTAGTGGAATGCGTACCCCACTTTGAGAACCACTGCTCTAGGTTGTCTACATGCCATTTTAAAGGCACTTTTTTTTCTACCTGCCATTTTAGATTACGTTTTACCTTGCCTTGAACTCTTTATTTGAGGAACTACTTGAGCTATAGACCCCTGGAGTGGACAATAGAACACAATAGAACCAGAACTTTCAAAAATAGTCAGAAAATAACAATGTCTAGACTGTGATTTTGATTGATTTATTGATTTCCTCATTGAAAAACAGCATTTCTTTAAAATTAAGGACTTTTCTGTAAGTTTGAAGAGGTTAATATAAAATAGCGGTGTGATCAGAGCACACAGAGAGTGAAGATGGCGGAGGCGAGCAGCGGCAGGACGATGCTGGGTCCAGTGGGAGCGAAGCCGTTGCACAAGTCAGTGCCGCAGCAGGCCATTTTGCGGTTGCACAAGTCACCCCTCGCGCAGCCTCTGAACTTTTTTCCTGTGTGTTAAAAAAACAGCAGTTATTCCAATTGTCTAAAAACACTATAAAAATAACCTTACCTTCAACGACTCCGGAGCCACAGGCATCGAAGAGCAGAGGGGCACACACAGTGGTGTTTGTGCATCTGGAGTCAGTATCAATGCATGAGTAGCACCTCAGGGCCAAGGCTGGGGGCATGAACACAAACAAAATGTTTTTTTTTCACAGGCTTTTTTCCTTATGCTTGAAAAATTGAGGGATCTTTAACTGTCAATTCAGTAAAAAAAAAGAGAAGAAAAATGAAATAGTCGGGATCCTAGAGTTGACAAAAATACTGAGCGCGTTTTCACTTTTCGGCCTGATTTTAAATGCTTCTCAGATTTGCTTCAAAAGATAAACTGACTTAAAGAAGCAATATGTAAGATTTTTATGTCAAGTCATCATTAAAGGGCCCTAATCTTTTCGAATCCTTCTTTAACTGATAAACGTAGTTCAGAGATATTTAGATTTCAAATTTAGTTTTCCAGCCCCTAAATCTTGTTATTGTTTTCATTTCAACGTCCTGCCCTCCACCGTTTTACCAATCAGAAAGTCTGTGATCCAGGTTGCCAGAACTCACCGCGTCAAGCTAATCTCACTGGTAACATGTGGCCACAGAACAAAAAAAGGTCTCGTTATAATTTTAAAATCATTAATGACAAAACAAGGAACAAAACGAGGATTTCTATCGGAGCCTTTGTGAAAAAGGTGTTGGTTATAGATTTGTAAGGTAATGTATTGTTTATTTATATAGCGCATTTTACAGACCAAGGTCGTCCAAAGCGCTTTACAATGTTCAGAGTTCAGCTTTTTGACACATAAAAATGAAAAAGAGAGGACCACCTTCACTCAGCCAATCAGCTCTCAGCTCAAACAGTGACTCACAGCACTGTAAAAACGACAACTCAAAATTGTTCACCTTACTAAGATTTTTGCATTCACTGACAATAAAATTGCAAGTTGGAACTTGAACGGTCTGTTGTGAGCCACTTGAACTCACTTTCAGAAGTTAGTGATGAAAAGTTCACCTTATTTTATTTTACTTTGAGGTTGTAGTTAAAGTAAAATCACCTAATCAACTTCTGAAAGTGAGTTCAAGTGGCTCACAACAGACAGTTCAAGTTCCAACTGGTGATTTTATTGTCAGTGAATGCAAAAATCTTAGTAAGGTGAACAATTTTGAGTAGTCGTTTTTACAGTGCACCGAGTTAGAGTGAGGTCAACTTATCTGCACATGGCTCATATCAAAGTTGTCATGGCAACCGGCTGCAACTAATTTGACCAAATAAATCATTGTATTTATTTTTACCAACTGTAATCGACAGGGCCAAGCCAAAGTAGCCCTATATATTCCCTGGGTCAACCACTCAAGATGTTCTAATGGGTGGCACGGTGGCTGAGTGGATAGCACTCTCGCCTCTCAGCAAGAAGGTCCTGGGTTCGAATCCCGGTCGGTCCGGGGCCTTTCTGAGAGGTGTCTGCGTAGGTTTCCTCCGGGTGCTCCGGTTTCCCCTACCACTAAAAATATGTCCAATAGTTCTGGCATGCGCCTCCTGTACTGGCGACCCCGCTCCCATCTCTGTGTGGAGTGAGAGGACAAGTGCCCAAAAATTAACAATTGTAAACCGCTTTGAGACTCAGATCTGCAGTGAAAAGGCAGTACATAAATAAAGATTACTAATTGAAAAGGTCACTGAGCCTGAATGCAGAACTTGACAGAATCTAAATTAGTTGCATCATTGCTTCTAAATCTGAGTTCTAGAGTTCAGGACCTTAAGACTAATATGACTGAGCTTAAGTTCATGGGATTTATAAAATTAAACGGTAAATTAGTCTAGTGAGCTGATGAGTGTTAATAAAGACTGTGTTTAATGAACTTATATTGTTATGTTTATGGTATTCATAAAAATAATCTTTATTGAGGGTTTCCTTAAGAAACATTAGTTCTACTTCATGGTGCTCCAGCCACCTAGTTCGCTGTGGGTATACTCAAGAAGCCCGAGCTTCCCGCCAGAGAGAAATTAACGCTCCAATCACGTGCCAGTCCCATCTATAAATAGCCCTCTACAGCCCGCACCTGCCACTTTGAACTCTGGCACCATAGAGAGATCTACTTAACTTAATGGAGAATCGAGATGTCGAGATGTCGCTGCCAAGAGGCTCGCCCTGGCGTTTGGCCCGTATGGTACGGTCCAGCGGAGTCTGACGCGGAGGACGCGGTGGGGCTTACGTTGCTCCCCGCGCCCTCCATGGGACCAGGCAACAGACCGCCTTCTCCCTCCGAGCGGGAAAAGAGGTCTATGCCCGCACTGGAGGAATGCGATGCCAACGCGACTCAAGGGGAGGGGTTCTGGGCCAGAGCTCCGTGGGAGGGCTCTGGCCAGACCCATCTCCGCTCATCAATCTACTGGAGATGGAGGCAGTGCACAGGGTGCTGCTGCACTTTGCACTGCTGCTGCAGGGGGGGCACGTGATGGTGCGTTCGGACAACACCACCGTCGTGGCCTACATAAACAGGCAGGGGGGCACGAGATCCCCCGGTCTCCATCGCCTGGCGGCTCGCATTCTGCTCTGGGCAGATGTGAATCTGCTGTCTCTCAGGGCACGCCATGTTCCCGGAGACAGGAACACAGGTGCGGATCTAATGTCCAGGGGGGGCCCACTTAGGGAGGAGTGGGGCCTGGCCCTGCAGATAGCGGCGCAGGTATAGCAGAGGTTCGGTCGACCGGGGGTCGACCTATTCGCCAGGACAGGCAATGCTCTGTGCCCACTCTGGTTCGCGCTGCGGCCCACGGACAATCCACCCCTGGGGGTGGATGCCCTGGCGCATTACCCGTGCCCGGGGGGCCTTCTATATGCGTTTCCCCCGACTCGCCTCTTGCCGGTTCTTCTGAGGAGAATCGAGCAGGAGGGTCGGGAAGTGATCCTCATCGCCCCGGACAGCCCGCACGCCCGCTGGTTCCCGTTCCTGAAGGGCATGGCGGTGTGCGACCCTTGGCCTCTCCCGGACGAGCCCGGGGCTCTAGTCCAGGGAGGGGGGACGCGTCACTCGCGCCCGGTACTGGGCCACAGACTCTGGGTCTGGAGGCTGAGAGGCGGACTCTCGTAGGTCTGGGTCTCCCTCAGTCAGTAGTGGAGACCATTCAGGGCGCGAGAGCCCCTTCCACTGTCAGGGCCTACAGCTGTAGGTGGAGGGTTTCCAATGGCTGGTGCGCGGTGTGTTCTTGGGACCCCATGTCCTGCCTTCTGGAAGGGGTCCTGGGGTTCCTGGGGTTCCTACAAGAATTATTGGAGAAGGGGAGGGCTGCCGGCACCCTGGCGGTGTTTGCAGCAGCCATTACCTCTGGCCACGGAGGGTTTGGGACATTTTCGGCCCGTTCCCACCCGCTGGTCAAACGTTTCCTTTGAGGGGCCCACCGGAAGAGGCGCGTTCTCCGGAGGACCCCCCCGCTCTGGGACCTTAAGGTGGTCTTGAGGGGGTTATAGGGACCTCCCTTCGAGCCTGTGGCCCAGGCCAGCCCCGAGTGTGTGGCTCTCAATACCGCCCTCTTGCTGGCTCTCAACCAAGCTATGCGCACTCTCCGTTCGCCCGGAAGGCCCGACATTCGGTGCTGAGGATGGTGTAGTTGAGCTTGGCCGAACCCAGCCTTTCTGCCTAAGGTTGTTACTTCGGCTTTTAGGTCAAGGGTCATCAGGGTCCGACCCTTTCACCCGCCGCCTCATGCCTCCGAGGAGAGGAGGACGAGCGGCAGCATCTGTTGTGCCCAGTCTGGATGCTGAGATCCTACCTGGCAATTAGAGCCTCTTTCAGACGTCGGATCAGCTGTTTGTATGCATGGGCTCTAAGAACAGAGGCGCGCCATTGACACCCCAGAGGCTGGGGTGTCAATGGCGCGTGTCACAGGACGGACGCACAGCGCACTTTGTTTTTATGCATGCTTTTATTGTGAAATGTGTTTGATCGTGTACAGCACTGTGTTTTTACTTCCTGTTTTTAATCCCCGCACCTGCGGCAGCTTGCACTGATTTTAAACAATGGACATAGACACTGGTGGCAGGAGCCAATTGGCATGGGTTTTTATACAGACTATGGGGAAGGAAGAGGAGAGCACGGTGGACAACTGCAGTGTCTTGGGGCGACCGAGGAGAGGAAGCAACAGAGGACAGCAGCAGCCAGCAGTATCTGCACGGAAGGACCCACGGGAAGCCAGAGCACTACACGCGGCGTAAGTACTGTTTTAGTGCTCTGGTCAGGCATACGGCTGCTGGAATCTGTTTTTAAAGTCGTGTTACTGTGGGAGACCCGTTTGTTTCAGGGAGGGGCCTGGCCAGCCGTTCCCTCGTGTGGAGCCGGAGCACGACGAGATATCACCGCAGCGGGCAGAGTTTCTCTGCCCGTGCACGTAAGTGACTTTTAGTGCTCTGGCCGGGATTCATCCCACCTTTTTAAGCTACAGATTTCTATTTTTAAAAGGAACGTTTTACTGCCTCCTACTCCTCTGGTTTTAGGTCTGCTGCCGTTGGGACGTCGAGTCGCCCCTGTTTTAACTGGACTCAATCTTTAAAGTGGTTCTCACCCCCGCTCCTCGGAGCTTACGTCACTCACATTTCCTGTTCAAATCTTCCTCTAAATGGGCGTAGCCTGGAGGACTAAAGGGGGCGTGAACGAGACTGGGCCGTTTACATTGCTCTGGGCGGGGGGCTGCTGACGTCAGGTCCAACTTGCAGACGTCAGGTCCAACTTCTGTGCCAGTGTTGGCGCCAGATTCAAAATTCAAATGTAGTAATACAGGTCGCCAGCAGATGGCGCCTCACAGACGGTTTTAGGCAGAAAGTCTAACTTTCAACTAATTTGCACCAAAGTGACAAGATTATGACCAGGATATGTAGACCACACTATTGGACACTCATTTATACCGTTTATCAGCAAAAAAAAGTGGATTTGAGGGTGAGTTGTCCTTTAAGTTTTACTTTTAGTATTTTATTTAGTATTTTTATTTACTTAACTTTTTGTAATAAATTATTGTTTTACGCCTTTAACTCTGGTTTTTATACTGCTCACCTTGATTTTAAGAACCTTTTTAGAATTAGTCCTAGTCCCTAACTAGGTGGCGTTGCTTCTTCATTTATGATACTCGGCCACATCAAACTTGGCAGTTGCTGGCAGGATTCAAGCTTGAGCAGTGTATAACCAAAGTTTTTTTTTTTTTTTTACTCATTTTTATTACGGTTTTAAAGTCCAGTTTTATTTTAAGATGATGATGATGCCAGTGTATCCTGGAGCTCCTTGGCTGCCAAAATTCCATGGCCCAAACAGTGACGTGAAGTATGGGGACTGGAAGGAACAAATATCTGGTATTTTAAACTCTCAAGATTTGGCTGAACCTAGAAAAGTTGACATTTTATTGGGTGCCTTGGCGGGTGAGGCAAAGTCACAAATCAATGTGCTAGACTCTGGTGAGCGAGACCACTCCCGGAAAATATTTGCACATCTTGATTCTCTGTATGGTGACCATACTCCAGTTGCAGTTCTTAGAGCTCAGTTCTTTGGCTGTGTACAGAAACCCAGTGAGTCTGTTAAAGCTTTCTCTCTCCGCCTGAGGGAAATCTATTGCAGACTACGGCGGCATGACTCTGATGATGCACCTTCTGAACGCAACCTACAGGACCAAATGTTGCTGGGACTACAAGAAGGACCCATCTCTCAGACACTCCGAACATATGTGCGTAGAAATCCAGACCTTGATTTTGCTGCCGTACACAAGGAGGCACTGCTACTGGAGGAAGAGCAGCGTGGGCAGAGGGGCCTTGACACCACATGTTATGCTGTTGGTGAGTCCAAACAAAACCATACACCATACACACCCAATTGGAAAGGGGCCTTAAAACAAGAGCTTATGAATGATGTGAAGGATCAAATGAAAGGACTAGCTCAAGAAATAATTAGTGAATTAAAACCACTTCTGCAACACACTGGGCTGGACCATTCTCCCAGGCAACAGCGCTACCAATCCAGGCCCAAGCGTGGATACCAAGGCAATAATGACTGGACTCAGGATGGGAAGCCCATATGTAGGCAGTGCAATCAGGCTGGCCACATAGCTAGGTTCTGCAGAAACTCAAACGCTCCCAACACACCGCCTTTAAACTAATCCCCCCTGCTGCTGAGGCCCAAGCAGTAGGGACTGCCTCACAGGCTGTCCACCAGGGGGCCACCTCGCAGTTTGTTGGTGAATGCCCGACCATTGAAGTATGTGTCGGTGTCAAAATGACAGCTTTATTAGACACAGGTTCACAAGTCACTTTAATACAACAGAAAGTTATGCACCAGCACTTTTCAGATGTAGAAAAAGGCTCGGCCCCCTTGATTTTAACCCTTGAAGCTGCTAATGGCCTCACAATACCATACTCTGGCTATGCAATAATGAACTTTGAAATAGAGGGTGTTAAAATCCCAGAAAAGGGTGTTGTCATCGTTAAAGATGATTGCTCCACTCATCCACTGTTAATTGGGATGAATGTTATTGGTGCGTGTTGGGATGCTGTTTTTAAACAGGGAGATGCAGTTGTTAATCCCCAGAAGTGGCAGTCTCGGAAACCGTGGCGGGAGGCATTTGCTGTATGTCGGAGAACCATTGCCACCACCCCAGAGGCTGGGTTCATGGGCTACGTGCGTCCTGCCACCCGGCAGTCAGTTCGGGTACCACCTAAGAGTGAAATAATTGTGTGGGGTCGCACCTGTACTGGGCCGGGTGGGAAAGATTATTCTGCTGTACTGGAGGCTATGCCCGACGCAGAGGCATGGGGCGTAGCCAGAACTCTTGCTGTGGTTAAAAATGGACGGGTCCCAGTCCGTGTCTGTAATCCAGACCCTTACCCAGTTTCGATAGGGCGTTATCAAAATCTGGGCAGGTTATACCAGGTGGAGGAGGCTGACGTCCAGGGAGCCCGTGACCTGAGCCTGACCATGGGTCCAGATGGTGTTGTAGATTTTTCACCAGGTCTGATGTTTGGGCAAAATTTTACAACTTTTCATGCATGTTCAGGGGGTGAAATTAAGGCTCAAAGTGCAGAATTTGACATCTCTCGAGCAAAAACAATAGGCCCTTTCCCCGTTCCGGGCTCGGGCCTAAAAATACAACTTTTGATTTTAAAATTAAGTTTAAGTCACAGCACAGTGCACCCAGGGCCAGAGGGAATTACATTATAATGGACTACAGCAAGCTTATTATACACATGGAGCAGTATGAGCATTTTCAAACATATTTTTTTTACAGTGATAACTTTATAAAGGAAAGAGCAGCACATGCAAAAGCCCAAAATTGGAAGACTTCAGCTGCTGTCAGTTCATTGCTATACACCTGCTGTCTCGTCATCTGTTTCATGGCAGGATGATGGCCTGGGAGCCTCTTCAGTCCTCTTTCTACAGCCTGACACCTGGATGTAAAGCCTGTCTGACTCTCAATACGGGCCACAACAAGGTCTCTTACATTCTTTTCCAGACGATTTTTTTTTTTTTGAGTTGTTCCTTTGCCAATGCAGAGTTCAGTGATTGGATTGTTCATTTTTGGACATTTATTAACGTTTATGGACATTAGTCATCCTGCTCCATATTCATTTATCTTGTGCTGTGTGCTCCTCATTCCTACTGTTCTCTATCTGGTGATGCAACACTGAAATTTCCCCACTGTGGGACAAATAAAGGATCTCTTAATACCAATGGACCGATGACTCCTGTGTGTTTGTCTGACTCACTGAACTTTTGTTGCCAAATCCTTACAAAAATGAACTAAATTGATAAAAAGTTTCACTCTTGTTTCACGGCCTGTAACTGTGTCTTTGTGAGAAGTCTTTGTGTGAGCGCTGTACTCACCGGGGGTCGGTCAGCGGCTGGCTCACCCACTTCCTCATCAGCCTCCGTCCGAACGCAGTGCGAGTGTGATCCAGAACCCACAGAAGACTGCCCCTCACCATCCCGTCCGTCTACACACAAACACAAACACACAAACACAGGTCTTTTACTAATGTCCCCAAAACCCCCACCACCTTCAGCCGTAACGCTTGTAATTTAGCACATGCAGGTCAAACTCAGGCCTGTGGGGATAATCCGGCCCGCAAGACCATCTTTTGTGGCCCCTGAAATTATTTTTAATTATAATTTTCACTGTAACTTGCAGCATGGATGGTAATGGGAAACTATGGCATGTTATACTTGAGTTTAAAGCCTATATTATATCAGGAAAATAACCTTGAATATTCTAAAATGTTAATGTAATCTTCCTCATATTTGGCCCAGTTGTGGTTGAATTCAAACCTACAAGAAAATCGTAGGTTGTTGTAAAAATAAAAAAATAAAAAAATAAAAACTGAACAAAAACATTTTTATACCACTTTTTTATACTTCTGGCCCCAACCATTTCTTTTGTCTTTGAATTTGGGTTTGACGGCCATGATTTAGCAGCACTAGAAGACAGAAACACAAATCTACTAAAAAATACTCTTGAGAAAGTGATTTTCCCATTTTGAATCTGATCCATTTAATTGTTTTCGTTTGCTGTTGGGGTCTCTGTGGCTTGTTCTTCTTCCTGGTCGATGAGAATTAGTTCTCAAACATTCTATTTGGTTATATAAAGGTTGCATGAAAGAACGAGAACAAACAACACGACTGACTTTTAACCCTCGAGGCGCCAAAGTTTGTTTATTTGGTTGGGACAGTACATTTTAAAGAACACATCACCCCGGATCGTAGCCAAGTATGATTCCCTCGACCTCAGTGAGTGAATGCTTCTGTCCTTGTGTTTGATTTTGTTTTGTCTGTCGTTTCATTGAATTTATTTACTGTAACTTGCTTTGTTTTTTGTTAAACTATAATGTAACCGCATATATTTGATAATCGCTGCTGCTACTTGTGTTGTTATTTTTGAGGACCCTCTCAAAAACGAGACGATGGGCTATTCCTTGTAATTAAGATATGTCAAACCTTTCTTGAATCAGGGGCCAAAGATACGTGTGAAAACAAGTGATAGAACCAGTGAAAAGCGAGGAACTAGTGAAACTGGAACTAGTTTTATAACATAGCTCCATTTTTTGGGGCTTCAAAGTTAGGTACCCCAGCTTTAAAGACAGAATTGGTAGAATAAGAGTCCTTTTATGCAAACACACATGGGTATAAATTGGTTTTCTTATTATATGGTGATAAAGAGTCACTATTATTGTAAGAAATTTGACGTTATATACAGAATAGTGCAAACTAACAGCACACACTGAGAATAGAATGTTTTCACCTGGTTTCTTAGAATTTCCAAGTTCTTCAGAGTAGCAGCGCCGAGTGTCAGGATTTCCGAGCCGCTGAGGAGTCGCTGGAAATTGCTGCAACAGTCGAAGGCAAACAGTCATTAGTGAGAACCGTGCATGGAATAATGCGTTTGTTTAGAAGTACCATTGACTCCGAAGAACTCGCTCCAGGTTGAATTCTTGGAGGTAGAGGATGAGAGGCCCCAGACAGCAGACCACTGGGCTCTCCAACGAAGCCACGCAGGACAGGGCCTGAGAGTCTGGAGGAGAAGTCCAGTTAAAAGAAGCTATACCCGTTTCTGCAAGGTTTAATGTTTATCACCGCCCTCAACTCACTCAGAGGCTTCTCATTTCCCCTACGCTCTGATCCCACAGAGCCATCTAGTTTTATTTGCGATCTGATACATATGCAAACATTAGCATTAGCGCAACTGAAGCTGTACAACAGTCACTGATGAAATGGTACAAAAGCAACGTACTGCAAACAAAATATATAACTGAAAGATTACTGCTAGTTTCACGTCTGAATGTGGTCCGAGCATAGATAGTTCGAGCATAGATAGTCCGAGGTGGTCCCGCAGGTCTCTCCCATAGACAAGTCTCTCCAGAGGGTACGATGTAAGCTAGCTATGTTCACCCGTGCTTGATTTATTCTTTGATCATTTTTTTTGCTTTAGTTCCCTCTTCTCTTACTCACTTTTGTGTTGTTTGGGCTGTTTTGCTGTGTCTGCAGTAACAGCCAGAGGAGTTATATCCAATTCTGCTAATTCTAGAGGACGCAGAGGATTTAATTCATGCCCAAGCTGAATCAATGAGCTCAAGTTTTCAATTCAATTACGGATTATAATACAACTTGTATGTAGTAATAAGCATTTTTATGAACTCATTAAAAATAAATTGGGTATAGCATCATTAAAGCAACACTAAGTGACAAAGCCCAAGGAGATGAGGCTCGCACCATCACTACCATCATTTCTTAAAACCCACTTTTATCAAAGGGCCTTTTTTATATTTTGTATTATTATGGCCGTTTTATTGCTTTGAAAAGTGCAACAAAAATAATTATGCATCCATCTATTTTCTTCCCCTTAATCCACTTCTGGATTGGGGGAGTGGCAGTTAGAGCTGCACCAACTCACACCCGATTCACATACTGTAGCTTGTGCTCTGTGCTCAAGAGTGGGGTTAAGTGTCTTGCCCAAGGACACAACAACAGCAGTCATCAGTGGGAGTCGTGAAGTAGATCTCGTGGAGGGCTCGAACCCACGACATTCAGGCCCAAAGGCCAATGCTCTACAAACTGAGCCACTGTCGGCACAAATAAATATGTATTATCATAATTATAAGAAGCAGGTATGGGACAGTTGGGGAGCGCACCTTTAAAAGAAGCTAGGTTCTGGGATCAAACCTCTGTCAGAACAGAAACCTTTTGCTTCACGTTCCCCCTGAATATGGATATAAAATACAACTTTAAACCTGCTGGCGTGCATGTGCGTTGGCGTGCTAGCATTTTGCGTATGTGATTTCCATTTGTTTTTGAAAAGTTATAAAAAACTGTATAAGATTCTAAGCATGTAAAAAAAAAAAAGCATTTACTCCAGAATTTAAAATGTTGGTCTAAAGTTATCGACCAGTTCTGAATCCTAAGTGAGTGAGTTGGCCCCTCGGTGGACTCACCTTTACCCTGACTCTGGGCATAAAACTTGGTGACCGTGTCCAGGGCGGCGCTGAAGTCAAACAGGGCTCCGTCTCTGGTCTCCAGCCGGGCTCGGTCATCAGCATGGGGGCTGCGGGGACCACAAAGGGTTAGGCTCATTATGCAAGAGTTCAAAGTTGGAAGGATTCAATATTGATCTCTGGGATTGGATGCACAGACAAACTTAAAATCATGTAAATTCACTTTTCCACTTAAAAAAGTAAGTCTAAACATTCATTTTGGACGGCTACAGGAACGCTAATATTTATACAGATGCTTAAGGGAATCCATACATTCACTTATACGAATGACACTTGCAAAAACGATAAAATAAGGATTAGCTACATCCTGCACCTTTTGGGTCTTTCTGCTGTAACGTTACTGCTATAAAAAGGTGAGTATAAAGCGGCAAATAAACGTTTTATCATATTAAAGTCATCTTTGAATCGCAGAAAAGAAAGCTACAGTCAACCTTTCTTTGCGTTTTGAATTACAGAGAAATCATTAATATGCCAGAGTCTACCGCTGCTCTAAAGTGGGTTTATCATCGCAGGGTTCAAAACTCATCACCGTGACTTTGTGAAAACGACGGTCGGCCTTCGCTGCCGATAAAAGCGAGCATCATTGCGTTATATTTATTCATAAAGGACTGATTGGAAAGGACAGGAAGTCTGGACCAATCATTTTTTTAAACTTCTTGTACAAGAACTGGACTCAGAAAAAAAGTGTTTGAAAATAATGACAATTCTAATATTCAAACCTTTGGGACATTGGAAACTTGGAACAGAACAAACACAAACTATCTCATAAGAATATATGTGTGTGTATTACAATAAAAAAAGGATATGTTTATTTAGATCAGTGAATATCCATCCATCCATTTTCTTACGAATATTTAAAAATTATTGTGTTTATTCAAATTAAAAATGTATTAGGGCCGCACAATGATAGCCAATTATTTCCTAGCTGGGCGCTCCCTTAGAGAATGGGTGAGGAGCTCGGTCACACGGGAGGAGCTCGGAGTAGAGCCGCTGCTTCTCCACAGTGAGAGGAACCAGTTGAGGTGGCTCGGCCATCTTTTTCAAATGCCTCCTGGACGTCTCTCTGGGGAGGTGTTCCGGGCACGTCCCATCGGCAGGAGACCAGGGGAAGACCCAGGACATGATGGAGGGACTATGTCTCTCTCTGGCCTGGGAACGCCTCAGGATTTCCCCAGATCTTCCCCTTAATCCACTTCTGGGTTGGGGGAGTGGCTGTGAGAGCTGCACCTACTTCACATAGCTTGTGCTCTGTGCTCCAGAGTGGGGTTAAGTGTCTTGCCCAAGGACACAACGACAGCAGTCATCAGTGGGAGTCGTGAAGTAGGTCTCATGGAGGGCTCGTACCCATGACATTCAGGCCCAAAGGCCAATGCTCTTCTCTGTCAGAACAGAAAACCTTTTGCTTCACTTTTCTGAGTGGATTCTACACATTCCCCCTGAATATGGATATAAAATACAACCTTAAACCTGTTGGCGTGCATGTGCATTGGCGTGCTAGCATTTTGCATATGTAATTTACATTTGTTTTTGCATGTGCGTTGGCGTGCTAGCATTTTGCATATGTAATTTACATTTGTTTTTAAAAAGTAAAAAAAAGCTGTATTGGATTCAAAGCCTCCTGGACGTCTCTCTGGGGAGGTGTTCTGGACACGTCCCATCGGCAGGAGACCAGGGGAAGCCGCAGGACATGATGGAGGGACTATGTCTCTCTCTGGCCTGGGAACGCCTCAGGATTTCCCCAGATGAGCTGGAGGAAGTGTGTTTGGAGAGGGGACTATGGGCGTCTCTGCTTAGACTGCTGCCCCCGCGACCCGGTAATTAATAAAGCAGAAGAAAATAGATGGATGTAGGAATACTTAAATCAACAAAGCCATGTCCCTATTCAGAACTATTTATATATTTGTGTTTACATAGCACTTAAATAATTAGCAGCTCTTGCGATTTGCTAATTACGGCCATTAAAAGCTGAGGTTACTCTTGCATATTTACATCCATGCACCTGTATCACATCCACCAAACTCCATTCATTCGCCCATTCACGAAATGGAACGGTGCTTTCAAGGACTCGCTTCGTCTGCTCTCCTCCTGTTACCAAAGCAACCGTTTCAAACACACACACACACACATATATATATATATATATATATATATATATATATACACACACACACAAACACACACACACAAAAATACAAACACACGCACGTCTATCGTAAAAGGCTTCTTCACAGTCAGACAGCAGAAAATCAAAAGAAAAGGAAAGGTTTTATAAAAGGGATCAATAGATTTCATGTTGTGCGGTGCCGTTAAACTGCGGGGTCACTTTAAACACATTACAAGCAGCTCCGGAGCGGTCACACTGCTCTGTCTCCATCAAAACACTGGGGAGCATGGAATGATACTATGGCCAACAGATTGAAGCAGCTACTGCAGATCAGATATCACAGAGAAGAAGATTTATTTGCAAAACGCCACATTGCAGACACTATTTGTGTAGGTTGTGGTTTAACATTGTGGTCTGATGCATTTGGTTCTTAAAGATACAGACACGCCTCTAAAATGACTGAAACTATGAAGATGTTGTGTTGCGACCGCTGAGGCAAGTCCTGATGAATGACCGAAAAGCACTTGTAGAGCACAGACCTCCGCCAAGAGCTACTTTTTTTAATCAAACGATGTGATTATCGGGCAGCGGCGTCTGGATCACTTTAAAACTCATAATTATTTGGTCAAAAAATGTCCTCACTAATTTTGTGTGTGTTGCAAACTAACGGACGAACAAACTCTGCCTTAGTGGGGGAAATTAAGCAGGTTTGAGTTATTAAGAGAAGCCAAAATAAGAAAATTACAGTGTTCTGTTGAGATGAGATCCCTCTGCTGTTGTGCGCTTCTCACGACAGCCGAAGCAACAAGATGGTGGACATAAAGTCTGTGAGTTGTGTAAGAAGTTTAAATACGAACGAATAAAGACACGAATGTCACTTTTAATGCAATTTTAGGCGAGATGTTGATGGTTTCATGTTGTCATATGTGGGTTTTAAGAATCAAAGTTTCGTGTAAAGTTTGGTTTAAGTAGTAACTGCTCCAGTGAAACCACACTGCAGCTGTGTGATAGCAGCACCTGTCCTGTCGAGTTGAGCTGCTCCTGTGGCTAAATCGACAGCTAACAGCCCAGTCGACAACCCGACTGGCCTGCAGGGTTGATAATGGAAATAATAACCAAACTCTAAGTTGAAAGCTATTAGCTGTCGAGTTAGCTACAGGACTCGTCATTGGCCGCAGCTCAACTCGACAGGAAAGATGCTGCTCTCACACAGCAGCTGTGTGGTTTCACAGGAGCGGTTACTACTTAAACCAAACTTTACACAAAACTGATTCTTAAAACCCACATCTAACAACATGGAACCATCAACATCTCGCCTCAAATTGCATTAAATTATATATATAGAACATATGAAATCTCAATATTGAGCTAAAATGATTGCTTTGTGCTTGGCCACATTGCAGTGAAGCGTGGTCACATCAAAGTCTGCGCTCCACTGCAGATCAAGTGGATATTCTTTCCCTCTGTTAAAACCCTCAAGAGATCAGGTTTAAACACACAGGTATGGTCAAAAGTATTGAAGGTACAGTGCCTTGCGAAAGTATTCGGCCCCCTTGAACCTTTCAACATTTCGCCACATTTCAGGCTTCAAACATAAAGATATAAAAATTAAATTTTTTGTCAAGAATCAACAACAAGTGGGACACAATCGTGAAGTGGAACAAAATTTATTGGATAATTTAAACTTTTTTAACAAATAAAAAACTGAAAAGTGGGGTGTGCAATATTATTCGGCCCCCTTGCGCTTATACTTTGTAGCGCCACCTTTTGCTGCAATTACAGCTGCAAGTCGCTTGGGGTATGTCTCTATCAGTTTTGCACACCGAGAGACTGGAATTCTTGTCCATTCTTCCTTGCAAAACAGCTCGAGCTCAGTGAGGTTGAATGGAGAGCTCTTTCCACAGATTCTCGATTGGATTCAGGTCTGGACTTTGACTTGGCCATTCTACCACCTGGATACGTCTATTTGTGAACCATTCCATTGTAGATTTGGCTTTATGTTTTGGATCATTGTCCTGTTGGAAGATAAATCTCCGTCCCAGTCTCAGGTCTTTTGCAGACTCCAACAGGTTTTCTTCCAGAATGGTCCTGTATTTGGCTCCATCCATCTTCCCATCAATTATAGCCATCTTCCCTGTCCCTGCTGAAGAAAAGCAGGCCCAAACCATGATGCTGCCACCACCATGTTTGACAGTGGGGATGGTGTGTTCAGGGTGATGAGCTGTGTTGCTTTTACGCCAAACATATCGTTTTGCATTGTGGCCAAAAAGTTCGATTTTGGTTTCATCTGACCAGAGCACCTTCTTCCACATGTTTGGTGTGTCTCCCAGGTGGCTTGTGGCAAACTATAAACGAGACTTTTTATGGATATCTTTGAGAAATGGATTTCTTCTTGCCACTCTTCCATAAAGGCCAGATTTGTGCAGTGCACGACTGATTGTTGTCCTATGGACAGACTCTCCCACCTCAGCTGTAGTTATCTGCAGTTCATCCAGAGTGATCATGGGCCTCTTGGCTGCATCTCTGATCAGTCTTCTCCTTGTTTGAGATGAAAGTTTGGAGGGACAGCCGGGTCTTGGTAGATTTGCAGTGGTCTGATACTCCTTCCATTTCAACATAATAGCTTGCACAGTGCTCCTTGAGATGTTTAAAGCTTGGGAAATCTTTTTGTATCCAAATCCGGCATTAAACTTCTCCACAACCGTATCTCGGACCTGCCTGGTGTGTTCCTTTGTCTTCATGGTTCTCTCTGCGCTTTAAACAGAACCCTGAGACTATCAAAGAGCAGGTGCATTTATACGGAGACTTGATTACACACAGGTGCATTCTATTTATCATCATCAGTCATTTAGGACAACATTGGATCATTCAAAGATCCTCACTGAACTTCTGGACTGAGTTTGCTGCACTGAAAGTAAAGGGGCTGAATAATATTGCACTCCCCACTTTTCAGTTTTTTGTTAAAAAAGTTTAAATTATCCAATAAATTTTGTTCCACTTCACGATTATTTCCCACTTGTTGTTGATTCATGACAAAAAATTAAAATTTTATATCTTTATGTTTGAAGCCTGAAATGTGGCGAAATGTTGAAAGGTTCAAGGGGGCCTGTATATGAAAAAATGGAGTCCCTGAACGTTTCGGATCTATGCAGTCTTTCTGAAAATGTGAGATATTATTTTACCTCTAGCAAATATTCCGGAACAACGCAGCCGAATCATCCTTGAATCATAAATTCAGAAAAGAAAATCAGCAAGTAAGTCAAAACAATGGTTGGTCAGAGGAGCCAACGGTAAACGGCTAAAATATTATTCACCATTCAGCCCATTCCAGTAGCCATTTATTTCCAATTCTATATGTAAACACTGCAGAGAAGTATCACAAGATCCTAATTAATGAACATTTAACATCGAGTTAACAACTTCTTCATTTTGGTCCCAGCGCAGGAGGAGAGGAGCTGACTGTGGCCGCGCCTTTTTACAACCTGCCTCAGAGGGACTCATTATGGACGACTCCAGGGAGAGTCAAGCCCGGTTACCACTCCAGAGACGCACACAGACACACATGTGCATGCATATACACACACACACACACACACACACACGTACACACACGTAAACACAAACACACACCGAGCCTATGTCAGCAGCTGCAAAGAAACTGCTGATTTAGATGTCATTATTTACAGGCTCAAAATAAGGAAACAAACCTTGTGAGCCATGGAGTGTGTGTGTGTGTGTGTGTGTGTGTGTGTGTGTGTGTGCACGTGTGTTTCTGTGTGTCAGTGTGCGTATGTGTGTATCAGTGTGTGTGCATGTGTGTTTTGGTTTTACTATCTGGGTTGTCAGCCTCTAGAACAAGTCTGGTTTAATGCAGTGGTCCTCTGACTAAAAACGTTTTGTCGAGTTATCTCCGACAGGGAACACAAACCAGATTTTTCCGAAGAAATTTAAAAAAAGGGAAATACCAGTATTTTTGTTCATTCTGAAGAAGCAACAAACGGATATTTTCCCACTTTACATTCAATGGAGAAATGAAACGCAAGGATAGGAACCGGAGATGATGGGAGAGAAGGATTTCAATTCACCTTTGACTATCTATGACACAGTAATGAGCAGATTCTTCCTTATTTGACCAGCCCTTGGTCATTTACACCCTAATTTAGGATATTTTTCTTCTACTTTCACATTTTTATTTTGCAAATCCCCCTTCCTAGATTATCTATGCCACATTGAGTTTTCGAATAGATGGTGTTCCGTGTCTTTTTCACCTCCAATGTGCCAGCACCAAACTTGAGCCAATTAGCCTGTATATACATCATTCCACATTACCTGACACACATAAAATGCCCTGAATATTTACATGAACCCAAACCCAGACGTTTAAGTTTAAGTTTGATTTACTGAGGACAATGTGCAGTTGCATTAAAAAGATGCTGCATGACATTTAGCACCATCCTTCTTTCCACCTGTGCTGCTTGACAAAACAATCATATAACTTCCATATTCATATACAGTTCAATAAAAGTGCAAGGTTACCAAGACAACATTAAAATACAGTTACAGAGTTGAACTGGACTTGGACAGACTTTATTGATCCACAAGGGAAATTGTGTTGTCACAGTAGCTCTCATGGTTTTTTCACAACAAAAAAACTAAAATAAAAATAACATTAAAGCAGCAATCTGAAAATAATAACATTTAATCAGACTATATTGTGAGAAAAACTAAACATATGTTAATGTACAATATATACGAGGACAAAGCAGATAAACTTCAAGTCTGTTTAGATGTGTATGTGTATATTTCTATGATTCCTATGATTCCTTAGCCTGGTCATTGAGCTCCGTGAACAGGTGGGAGGGGTTAACTCCTTTTGCAGATTGAAACGATTGAAACGATTGAAACGATTGAAACGATTGAAACGATTGGATCTGAGTTTACCGTGACGTATGTAATGCGCCCGAGTGAGTCATTAACATTTAGCATTTAGCCTAGCCATCTCCTTTGCCGCTAACGAAGCCCGTGGGGAGTAGTGCCACAAACTTTGCCAGCGATTACATTTGCTAAACATTCCTCTTGCTCCGGCTTCAATTTCTTGATAGTAAAGTATTCCGGTCTGGTTCTATCGCATTCTTCGCCAAACTACAAACTTCCCGTTCGGCGCAAACTCTTGACGTCACCCACATCTAACTACAACACCCGCCTCCCGCGCTCTCTTATTGGTCGGATGGAATTCAACCAGGGCCAGGCTAATGATTCCTATGATTCCTATGATTCCTATGATGGCTATGATGTCTATGATGTCTATGATGTCTATGATGTCTATGATGTCTATGATGTCTATGATGTCTATGATTGCTATGATGTCTATGATTGCTATGATGTCTATGATGTCTATGATTCCTATGATTGCTATGATGTCTATGATTCCTATGATTGCTATGATGTCTATGATTCCCATAGACAGAATCACACATTTGCATAAACACTCGGCTCCTCTGGTCTCGAGGCAACAGCTTTCCGGAATGCTGTCGCTACATCCTGCTCCTGCTCCGTTCATTAATTTAGCCAAATGCAGTGATTCATCATCTTTTCTGAATGGAACCGTGTGACAAACATGAATGAGCAAGGCCTCTTTTACCAGACTCAAACGCAGACGGTTGCCATGGCGCTCGTGGTTATCCAGCGTTCGGGTTTTTTTAGCATTGAGCGATTGTGGCAAGGCTTTCAAATCTGACCTACAGGTGAAATATGCAGATTCTCCTAAGTTTTCACTTTGAGGGAATTTAACGCACACAATAAAGTTTTCAGGGCAGGGACGTGGCAAAGTAAAATAGACAAAACAAACGTCCAACTTTCAAAATAAGTCACTTTAAAAGTCACAGCGCGATGCACCCAGGGCCAGAGGGAAACACATTATAATGGACAACAACGAGTTTGTCACAGGGAGTAATAAACATTTTAAAACATATTTTTTTTACAAGGAAATCTTTATCAATAATAACTTAATAATGTCAGAATGTGCTTTATAGAACCAAATGTCCACAGTTGCTGCATGTACAGATGTAAACATACAACTATATATTACTTGCACTACTATAACACAATACTTTATACCTATAGGTAAGGGTTTTATACTTCTTCTTTATGTTAAAGTCAGAATATTTTGTACTTATTACACTAAGGATAGAGATTTTTCACTTGTTTCTTTTTTTTCTTTTTCTATTTGATGCTTTGATTTGATTTAGTATAGAGTTATTGTTCATTTATCTTGCTCTGTGTGCTCCTCATTCCTGCTGTTCTGTGACCGGTGATGCAACACTGACATTTCCCCAACTGTGGGACGAATAAACAATCTCTTAATCAAGGAAAAACAGAGCGAGCAAAATCCCAAACTTTGATCATAAGAGCTCCAGTCTTGTCACACACGGGGTAAGAATCAGTGATATTGGTGTAAAAAATTGCAGCTATGTTTTGTTTGTAGCTGAACTGAATATGGCCACGTAGAAACTGCTTTATAGTATTTTTTTGGATAAATGTTGAGATTTGAAAATGTACCAAATGTAAAATAAATGATTCAATACAATAGAGTCACAATGCAGCAGCAGAAGAAAATCATATCTTCTTTAAAGTGACTAAAATGTAAACACAGGCCCTATGCACAACAGAGCCCAGTATGCGTGTGGAGTCTGCCCCCTAGAGGAGGCAGGGAGCAGTACCTGGCTGTGGTGATGCTGTGGAGCAGTTTGAGAGAGAGTTCTGAGAGTTCTGAAGACACCAGGATCTCCACAGGGTTGAGCTTCAGAACCCGGGCCTCCAGCTCCGAGCGAGAGGGAGAGTCCGAGAAACAGTCCAGGAACACGTCCCCGGTGCTGGGCTGCACGGCCTGACGAGGGACACACAACATCCTCTCATTTAAGCAGCAATAACAACAACAGCAGTAATGGAAGTGTGTCAGAAGTTGAGCGACACGGTTCACATGATTCTGAGTCTGAAAGTTAGTCATTTTATTGTGTGCGTGTGCGCTTGTCCGTGTGTGTGCTTGTCCGTGTGTGTGCTTGTCCGTGTGTGCGCTTGTCCGTGTGTGTGCTTGTCCGTGTGTGTGCTTGTCCGTGTGTGTGCTTGTCCGTGTGTCTGTGTCCCTGTTTCTGTTTCCGTGTGTGTCCGTGTCGCTGTGTTTGTGTGTCCGTGTCTATGTCCATGGCCGTGTGTGTGTATGTGTATGTCAATATGTCCGTGTGTGTGTCCGTGTCTATGTGTATGTGTCCATGTGTGCGCTTTTCCGTGTGTGTCTGTGTCCATGTTTCTGTTTCTGTGTGTGTCCGTGTCGCTGTGTTTGTGTGTGTGTCTCCATGTCTGTGTGTGTGTCCATGTGTGTGTCTGTGTGTGAAAAAGTCTATAGAAAGTTAAAAAGGAAAAACTATTGATACTAAAAGGTGGAGTTGTGACTAACTTAAACACCACATGTTAGTGCCGTGATCAGGGGCCGGGAGCCTGAACTCACCACGAGGCCGACAGTGAGCTGCTTCCGTTTGTCCCAGGTCTCACTGATGCAGAGGAGGCAGCTGTGTGGGGGGTCCATGGCCCCCTCCTCACATCCCTGAGGCCTGTCTTCAAACGTACACACCGGGTTCACATCTGCAAAGAGTTTCAAGAAATTGCGATTCAAAAAAATAATTAAAAAAAAGAAAACAAATGCTTAAATCAAGTGTTTTTATTTTAATATGAGCACATTTTGATAATCTGAAAACAAGATTTGCCATTGGGACAAGCAAAAATGTCTTGTCTTCAAAAGATACAAGAAAAGTGTCTTCCTTGGAATGAGACATAAATTGCAACAGCACTTGAAATAAACACCAAACGGCTTGCTCCATTGGCAAATCTTGTTTTAAGACAGTCAGAATGAACTCAAATTAGGACAAAACCCCTTGATTTACTACCTTATATTTTGCCATTTTTAGCAGTATAGAATTAAAAGCGGGGGGGTAACTTTTTAACCACAAATAAACCGTTTGTTTGTCTGAATAGAATAAACAGTGTTAAAAAATTTATAGAACAAATCAGACACAACGTGCCGCAGTTTTAATCCTAGTAGAAACAATATCTTTTTGGTCAAGAGTGGTCTTCTGTTTTTCATTTTTCTATGTGAAAAAGCAGATTTACAGATGTGGCAGAGGCCAAAAACACACAGTAGCAAACTGTTTTGAGATGTGATTGAGAGACGGATTTTATTACATTATTATTGTAGTGGTTTGAAAATGAGGTGCCCCAGCGACCGGGGACTCAAAAAACTGATACCTTCTCCCACCAAAGTGGACTTTGTGTAGAGGGCCGTCAGCTCCCGAGTGAAGAGAGCGTTCTTATTGGCTCCTGAGGCTTTGATCGCGGACGTCTCTGTTTGTTTGACCACACCCACCTGAAACACAGACTATTATGTTTACACTGTCATCCGTATATCTGTGACATGTTAGTGCCTTATGAACCAACTGGGACTCTGAGGAGCACAGGGACTAAACATGGGGAGGCCGCAATTCACATTTATGCAGCTAGAATCAGGAATAGTCTTCCTGAAAATGTGAGACAGGGTAAAACAGTTCTGAATAGCTGAACACAACTGAAGGATTGTATCTGGACTCTTTTTAATGTACAGTGATTATTTAAATGCCTTGTGTGATTGATTCTTGTTTTGTTCAGCACTTTGAGTTGCCTTGTGTATGAACTGTGCAATACAAATAAACTTGCCTCGCCGATAGACTCTGCCATTACCTTATGCCCGTGTGCCACCAGTCGTCTGACGTGGACGAAGAGGCGGTGAGTGGGGATGCAGCAGGTCATGAAGTTATGGTCAGAGTAGCAGCTGATACTGAGGATCTTTGCAGCCACCTGGAAATACACACACTTTAGTTTTAGTTCCTTAGAGAAACAGAAAGTGCAAAAAAGTCCATGTAAAATCTGCGGCAAATTCAAAAAAGAAACAACAATTTGGATGTGATTAGTTTGATCTTACCCGGTATTCTATTCTCTGTGTCATTGTTTCTCTGTTGTGTTTCTAACATTGATCTTGTCATGTTGTTACTATTTTCCTACTGTGAATCAAAAGCCCATTAGGGACAATTGCTACAAATTAGCTTTGGCTAGAAGTAGGGCTGGGCGATAAAACGATAACAATATATATCGCGATAGACATGTTTTCGATATCAATAGAGAATGGGGTCGATAGAATGTTCGATAGTTTAACTTAACTCCGTCAGGAAAAACAGGAAGAAAACACCGGAAGTAAAGCCGACTCATAAGCGCATGGCATTGTGGGGGATGTAGGCAGAGGCTTCTCGACCAATAACAGCCGAGCAGGAACCGCAAAACTTTCTGGGAAATGCAAAAACACCAACAACCGCACCATGCGTAGCGTCCATGGATCTATAGCTCGTGTTTCAATGCCGTGTCAATGGTTATGCACGTACGTGCGCGGAATAACATGTGCGGCGGCAGAGGCAGTGGACAGACCCGATGTATTCGATGTGTGTGCTCCTCATTCCTATTGTTCTACGTCATGGTGCTACGTCCCTTAGGACTTCGCTAGTGGGATATCACGTGACCCCCAGGTCACAGACGCCAGAGAGATCAAAATAATTTGCTCCAATCACCAGCCACCTTCCTCTATAAATGCCCCTGCACAAGGCCGCACCCCCTTTTTTCACTCTGGCGCCGTTTGAGATCTACATTCGTTACCTGAGAAAGAAAGATGTCTTCTGATGCACGTCCGAGTTCCCCTTCGCCATCCGGCGTCGGACGTCGTCGTTGCTCGACCTGTCGGGGCAAGCTCCAACGCAAGGACCAGCACTCCAGCTGCTTCATGTGCCTGGGTGCGGGCCATGCGGCGTTGAGCGCCACCTGCGCCTCGTGTGTCGCTCTCCCCAGGGAGGAGAGTGAACGCAGGCGCGCGTTCTTCGCCGCTACAGCGCCCCGTCCGGACTCCTCTAAGGACGAGGAGTCTGAGATTGACTGGGCCCCCCTCGACATTCCACCTGTGCCCGCGGAGTGGGGTGACTGCGAGGACGGAGAGGTGTCGGAGGTCGGCTCTCTCCTCACGCTGGACGAGGTGGTGTCCAACCCGGAGCCGGACCGCTTCCCGCTGGACCACATGCCTGGGCTCTACGCCAGCGGCGGCGGCCATCATGGATGCCCCCCTGCCACCGCAACCGAACCAGAGGGTGGAGGACTTCACCTCTGGGTACGCAGCCCCTCGAGGGAGGAGGAGAGCCCAGCCCACGTTGTGCCCGCGTATGGACCCGATCGTCCATTACGCGACACGTGAGTGGCCAAAACCCCTAGCGGCCAAGAGGCCCGCTTTGGGGTATGGCATGTACTGCAACGTGCAGGACTGGTCCTGGACAGGCGGGGTCCCGGACATCGAGGACTCGGTTCGGGCGGCCCTGCACCCCTCCTCATCCGTGTGGCCCAGCACCAGACCTCTCCTTCCCTCCGAGCGGGATAGGATGTCTCTGGCTATGCATGACAGATGTTACGCCAATGCGGCTCAGGTCGTCGCGGTGGCGAACAACATGGCTTTCATCACCGGGGCCCTGGATAGGTCTCTCTCCTCTGACCAGGCACTCAGTGGAGACACCTTAGCCCAGGCGAGGACCACTTCAGCAGCGATCTTGCGCATGTGCCAAGCGCTAGCTGTCGATGGCGGCCGCTCTATGGCAGCAGCCCAGGTCGGGGCCAGACACCTCTGGCTGGGGGCGGTGAACCTCAGAGAGGCGGAGAAGAGGCAGCTGCTGGACCTGCCCATCTCCCAGACGTCGCTCTTCGGTCCGGAGATGCAGACGCTGATGACGAGGCTGGACAGCGCGGCTAAGGACTCGGCTAGCCTAGCAAAACACCTAGCTACGAGACGCGAGGCCCGCCCACCAGCGCGGAGCCGAGACAGAGGCAGGGAGCGCTCGCCTGGCAAGCGCCCCGGACCATATCCACGCTCCGTGGTCCATCGTTCCCCAGCGGCGAGACCCCCGGGCCCAGACAGGCACACGGGAGGTTCGCGGGACCAACACACCCATCGACGGCCTCCCTACGGTAGAGGAGGTCGGGGTGGTAAAAACTCTTTCAATAAAGGCCGTCCGGCATTTCACCAGTACTCGCTGTCTGAGTCTCATTTGGGGGTATGTAACATGTCAAATGATTTGAATTCTGTTTGTGTTACTTCTCGAGCATATAACGTGGCTCCGCCAGGCCTGCAGCCCCCAGAGAAGGGCGTGCAGCGCGCTGTGCAGACCACGAGCTCCGATTCACGGGTTCATGTTTTGCCCTCCCGGAGAGAGGGCAGGCGGAGGGATCTGATAAGTGCTAATGTGTGTGCTCCGGGCGCTAGCGTGTTAGCATCTCTGAGCTACAAGGCTAACACGGGGTTTCCCAATCCAGGGGCTCTCCCCCCCCTCCATGAGGCAAGAGCCAAGGGGGGGGCGCAGCAGCCGTGTCACGCGTGATGAGCAGAGCTACATTGCTAACACGGGGTTTCCTAATCCAGGGGCTCTTCCCCCCCTCCATGAGGCAAGAGCCAAGGGGGGGCGCAGCAGCCGTGTCACGCGTGATGAGCAGAGCTACAATGCTAACACGGGGTTTCCCGATGCAGGGGCTCGCCCCCCCCTCCATGAGGCAAGAGCCAGGGGGGGGCGCAGCAGCAGCCGGGTCACGTGTGGTGAGCAGTCCCGTACTTATGACGTCGGACCTGCAGAACACGTGACCGCCCTCGGCGCTCACGGTGTGACGCAGGGGCCCCCCCGGCCCTTTCAGCCACCCCCCCTCCCTGCTAGGAACACCAGGAGGGGGCGGGGCCATGACGTCTCGTGTTCCAGCTCCCGTTCCGCCCCTCACAGATTTCTACGACATCTGGAAGGAGCAGGGCTTACTGTCAGATGTTTGGCTGGAGAAAACTCTGCGCAGAGGTTACGCTCTGCAATTTTTCCGAAAGCCACCACCATTCCGAGGCGTACGGGCAGTACGCTCTCAGGTACGGGGATCGACAGAGGCACTGGAAGCAGAGGTCTCCTCCCTGCTGAGTCGAGGCGCAGCAGTGGAGGTAGACCCGCAGGACGCCACCAGGGGGCTGTACTCCCCTTACTTTCTGGTGCCAAAGAAATCAGGCGGGGTGCGTCCCATTCTGGATCTGCGCGTGTTAAACGAGTGCATTTCCAAACGGCAGTTTCGGATGCTGTCCACAAGGCAGCTCCTCGAGTGTGTCAGGGAAGGAGACTGGATGACATCCATAGACCTGACAGACGCATACTTCCACGTACCCATAGTGCCAGAACACAGGAGATTTCTGCGCTTCGCAGTGGGAGAGAGGAATTACGAGTACTGCCGTCTCCCTTTCGGGTACGCTCTCGCGCCTCGCACTTTTTCCAAATGTGTGGAAGCGGCTCTGGAGCCGATCAGACGTGCCGGGGTAAGAATATTGACCTATATAGACGATTGGTTAATACTGGCCCCATCCAGGGAAGTGGCCGTGAGCCACACGCAATGGGTCTTGTCTCACATACAGCGTCTGGGCTTTGTGGTGAACAGGGAGAAGAGCAAGCTGCAGCCAGCCCAACGCATGATTTACCTCGGTCTGCAGCTAGACTCTGTGATATTCCGTGCTGCATTGTCCGTGGACAGACGGACGAATATTACCCGTCTGGCCCGGGAGGTTCTGGCGGGCCCCAGAGTTCCCGCTCGGCGCCTCAGGTCCCTGCTGGGGATGATGGCAGCGGCTCATGCTGTGGTGCGGCTAGGCCTGCTCCACATGAGAAATTTTCAGAGGTGGTTCTCGCGCCTCAGGCTTCACCCCTCCCGGGACGGGGGGAGGCTGATCTGGGTTCCCCAAGGGGCAGCATCGGACATCAGGTTCTGGCTCACTCCGGGTCTACTGCGGGACGGAGTGACTCTGGCCTGCGCTGTGTCTCACGCCGAGGTGTTCACGGACGCGTCGCTCGAAGGATGGGGCGGGGTCCTCGGCCAGAGCTCTGTAGGAGGCTGCTGGTCGGACTCAGCCCGTCACATCAACCTGCTGGAGATGGAGGCAGTGCACAGAGTACTGCTGCACTTTGCCCCTCAGCTGCAGGGGAGACACGTGATGGTGCGCTCAGACAACACCACAGTGGTCTCCTATCTGAACAGGCAGGGGGGCACCAGGTCCCCCGCTCTCCATCGCATGGCGACGGTGACGCTGCTGTGGGCGGCGCTTCACCTCCTGTCTCTCAGGGCGCGCCACGTCCCGGGGGTCCGGAACGTGGGAGCCGACAGGATGTCCGGGGGGGGCCCACTCCAGGACGAGTGGGGCCTGGCCCCACGGGTAGCCGCGGAGATCTGGCGGAGGTTCGGTCGTCCAGTAGTCGACCTTTTCGCCAGTGCAGAGAACGCACAGTGCCCGTCCTGGTTCGCCTTAAGGGCCGCGGACGAGCCGCCTTTAGGCGTGGACGCTCTGGCTCATTACCCATGGCCAGGCGGCCTGTTGTACGCTTTTCCACGGTGCGTCTCCTGCCGGTCCTACTGCGGAGGATCGAACAGGAGAGGAGGTCGGTGATTCTGGTGGCTCCGGACAGCCCGCATGCCCGGTGGTTCCCCTTCCTGAGGGGCATGGCGGGATGGGCCCTGGGCCCTCCCGGACGAGCCGGGGGCGGCGGTCTAGTCCAGGGGGCAGGAGCCCTGTTTTCACGTCCGATAATCGGCCGCAGGCTCTGGGTTTGGAGGTTGAGAGGCGGAGCCTCGTAGATCTGGGTCTTCCCCCTGCGGTGGTGGAGACAATTCAGGGAGCGAGGGCGCCGTCCACCGTGAGGGCCTACGCCACGAGGTGGAGGCTATTCAGTGCCTGGTGCGATTCCCGTTCCTGGGATCCCAGGTTTTGCCCGCTGGAGGGGGTCCTGGGATTCCTACAGGAGCTTTTCGACAAGGGGAGGGCTGTCGCTACCTTGGCGGTGTTTGCGGCAGCCATTACTTCAGGTCACGACGGGTTCGGGGGGTTCACAGCCCGCTCTCACCCGTTGATTAAACGTTTTCTGCGGGGGGCGCGCAGGAGGAGGCCCCCGCTCCAGAGAACGCCTCCGGTTTGGGACCTCAGGGTGGTCCTTAGGGGGCTGTCGGGTTCGCCTTTTGAACCGGCGGCGGAGGCGAGTCCCGATTGTATCGCTTTTAAGACGGCCCTCTTGCTGGCGTTGGCGTCTGCAAAAAGGGCGGGCGATTTGTGTGCGCTCTCAGTCCATGCGTCGTGCCTGTCCTTTGGAGAGGACGACGGCATGGTGGAGTTGTGGCCCAATCCGGCTTTTCTCCCCAAGGTCATCACGTCGGCCTTTAGGTCGAGAGTGATCAGGATTAGGGCTTTCCACCCGCCGCCGCATGCCTCCCCCGAGGAGGAGCGGCAGCACCTTCTTTGTCCTATCAGAATGCTGAGGCATTACCTGGCCATGACGTCGTCATTCAGGTCGGGTGATCAGCTGTTTGTGTGTCTGGGCCCCAAGAACAGGGGCGCCCCGCTGTCGGCTCAGCGGCTGGCGCATTGGGTCGCCACGGCGGTGCGACGGGCGTATCAGGCGCAGGGCCTGGCCCCCCCGGTGGGTTTCAGGTCGCATTCCACGCGTGGGATGGCGGCCTCTACGGCCCTTCTCAGGGGGGCGTCGGTCGAGGACGTTTGCCGTGCGGCTTCTTGGGCGTCGTCCTCCTCTTTCGTCCGGTCTTATCTTTCGGATGTGTCGGACCGGTCGGTGGCCCATTCCGTGCTGAGTGCAGCGGATTGAGTTGGACCGTTGGGTCCCTCCCCTGAGGAGTGGGCCTTCGGTCTATTTTTTTCCGCCCTGGTGCAGGAGCTCTTGGGAGAGGCATCCTACAGGTGCGGTACATATATGTGTGTTTGATCGGTCTGGTAGTCTACATCAGGAGCTCTTGGGAGAGGCGTCCTGTGACTACGGTTGACCTACGATTGGTGTTACGTGGGGGCGTCCTTGGTAGGAGTGGCCCGGTAACACGCTTTGTTTCTTCTGCCCTGAGTCCTCTCACGGTGTGAGGGTCTTGCTCGGGCGGAGCTCCAATCACCCTTCGCTGGCCTGCTGGGAGTACATGTTCCTACGGCCTCCGCGTTGTGTCCCACTAGCGAAGTCCTAAGGGACGTA